CCACACCAGTTGACACCTTTAAGTCTCCATTTCAGCCTGACCTGGCAGGTCGACCTGGCAGGTCGACCTGTTGGAGAGTCGAGATGAATGACCTTGACGACGTTGGTCCCCGGTCCCCGGGACTCCATCCGAAAGACTGCAGGGCAGAGCAATCCACTGCTTCTGACGACAGGTCGACAGAAGGCCAGACCGAAGATTTGTGAAAGCAAAGGCGACTCTTTTGTGGATCTGGATGGAACTCCCCAGTCCCCACCCGTTTCGTGGCCTCTCCTTCTCACCGCTGCGGGTTCCCCTTTTCTGCTTGGGATGGAGGGGTGGAACCGCTGGCTCTGAGACCGACCGTTTTATCCCGACCTAGAGACCCTACAGACTCAACAGGGTCGACAGGGTGGACCGCACGGTCCGAAGTTCGTGGATGGGCGGGCGCTTTCACAGCTCCGTGTTGCGGATCAGGGAAAAATGGGGGCGAACAGCACCAGACCTAGCTGTGGGGGTGGTAGGTATGTTCTGACCTCGGCCAAAAGCACGGTTTTATATGGTTCATAAGCACGGTGACGGAAGAACCGTGAACAACAGGTTGCAAGAAGAAAAAGAACGTCACGTGAACAACTTGAATTCACCTTCACCGAGCTGCTTCAGGCAGCTGGTTCAGCCAGGAGTATCCAGCACCAAGAATCTTCGTTCAGCCCGGAAGGTTGGGCTAAAGCATTCGGCAGTGCTCAGGACAGGACGTTCAACTACCAGCACCTTCCAACACCACATAGGGCCCTGTAGTGGTACATATGGGATGTGCGAAAAAGGGCTGTTCAACCTCTCTTGGTACTCTTGACCAGCGCTCATGCATCCCTATCAATGAGTATCAATGAGTAGCTGCTCTCCGCTACTCTTGTCCTGTGAGATTTGCCGTGCCTCTCAAAGCTCACAAGTTGCTGCAACAAGCACTGCAGCAAAAGATGCCCATGCCGAAAACGTGCAAAAATGAGGTATTTGGGTGGAGGGTGACGAACTCACAGAAGCTCCAGAGGCGTTTTTTCGAAACAAGCATTCCTTCCTTCCAGCTCGTTGCTTCCGTCATTTGATTCTCTCAGCAAACCGGAAGCCTCTGGTCCCGGGGACTTGCATCTAGATCTGCTAAATCGCAAATTCGTGCACTGCAAGCGGCCCTAAAGATGAGAAGAAAGAAAGGCCAAACGGCACCAGATGCCTGCAGCGCTAGACCAGGAAAAAAATACCAGCACCCTCCAACAGGTCACCACCTGACACTTTTAAGTCTACAAAAGCCTCCAGAGGAGACCTGTTGGAGGGTGCTAGTATATTATATAAAGTTCCGTTTGAAGTGTCAATAGAACAACACATGCATGAGTCACAGGAGAAATTCTCTGGCTATCTCGCATGCATGTTCGTCACACAAGAAAAGAAAAAAAACAGCAAGCACCTGGTCTTATGGTGGTTTTTCTCACCTGCCATGTGGACAAACCAAACCCACTGTTTTCAGACTCAAAGAGTTTGGGAACGCCGCCTGGGAACGCGCCGAAAATTGTTTGCTTTTCAGATGGAGAAGTTGAACCTCGAATCCAGACATGACCGGTTTTGATCGGAAAAGACCGATCAGGAAAGCTCCAAAACAGGGGTCAAATCAGGTTCTAGGCTTCTCTATGTCTCAGAGTCCTGTCATGACTGGTTCTAACTCATGCACTCCCTCCTACCCTGGTAGTGGTGGATGACCCCCAGCTGGGACCGTTTTTCACGAGTCAATTGGACTCATACCCGGCAGCGCTGTGTTTCGGAACCACCGCCTGAGGCCTGCTTCTTCCCTGTGTTCCAGGAGCATGTTTTTGGGTCTGGTACAGTGCACGGATCATGCATCTGAAGGTGAATTCTTCGGCTTCTTTGCCCATTATCCACCGCCTTCTGAGGCCCATCGCAGCGGTCCAACAAAAAAATAAAAAACACGGTTATTGTTCGGTGGCTCCACAGAACCATCGCCTGATCCATCGGGCTTCTGGAAAAAAATCGGCAAAGAAACCAAATTCTGGTTCCCTGAGACGAGCAAGATACTCAGCATCTGCAATTCCTCGATGAATTGCACCGGCAAGTCACACCGTTCGCAGCGATGAATTGGAAGACCGGCGTGCCACACAGATTCTGGACCAGTGGACTGTGGACGAAGGATTGTTGCAGTTCAACAAGAATCATGCAAAAATCTGCATAATACGCACACTCCAAAAAGAGGAAACGCAAACGACAAATGTTGGAGAACCCTCTAGAGGCTCTAGATCTGTTTCACAACACCCAACCTTTCGCTTTGCAACCCAACAAGTCCAATCTTGTCCATGCCGCGAGTGCAATCTTATCCGGTGCGTTCTATGCAACATGGACCTTGCATCTGGAAGTGAATTCTTGGCTTGATGAGGCTTCTTTGCCTTTCTCCATTCCATTCCGCGTCGTTTTTCGTGTTTTCAGGCTCCACATGGGCTCGATCCTCAAATCACCCAAAGAGCCACGGTGGTATCTGCCAAGGGTGGAAACCCGTGCAACCGTTTCAGACAGACAACGACGCTGACGACGCCTCAAAGGCAAGGAAGCCTCGAGTTCTCGGGCTACGAGCATCTATGCATCTGAAATAACTTCAATTAGGCATCGCCGCAGGGGCACCGGAGGCGCCATCGATTGGCCCATCGCAGCGCCATCCATTCGCCATGTTCGTGTGCTACAATGAAGCTCAGTAGACTCTTTCCGCCTGGGACTCCTAAATCCAAAGGGATCCACCGGCGCCTGGCCGGTGCTGGCGCCCTACCGAACACCCTGCGGTCGCGGTCACTTGAAGGTGACATGCGCATGACTGGTGACATGCGCTGACTGGTTCACAAGCGCTTCTCACTCTGTTCACTTCGCGTCTCTCGTCTCGTGCGTCTTCGGCACTGCATTCGCTGGCATCGCACGCCACGCCACGCCACGCGACGGCGTCTCTGCTCGAGTTCTCGTCACTGGTCACTCGCCGTTTCGCTCCTTGGATGGCGATTCACACGTCGATTTCACGCGTCGATTTCACGCGCTGTCACCGGATGGAACGTCCGGTCCCATCTCCCTGAGACCGTGAGAGGGTGAGTGAAAAGTACGGGGGAAGGGCTCCGGCCATTGCGTTCGGGGCTCCGGCCATTCGGCCTGGCACCGAAGGGCTTCGCGTTCTCCGTCCGGTGCCAGGCCGGTCGTTGAGAAAGACGAGCGGTCCGTACGTTGTTCACGTTGAGCGGTTTGGCAGTCTACGGGCGGAGGAGTGGGTGGGGACTGGGCGCACGCGGCCGAAGTGGGCGGCCGTCACGGGTCACCAACATCAGCTTCGAAAAGTTCAGACACCAGGAGTCACAAAGGGGTGCCTTATTGGACCAAACACCACCCCTTATCCACTCACTTAGGGACCAAACACCACCCCTTTGTGACCCCTGGCAGGTGGTGTTTCTGGGCACTCCCGAGCCTCCTTCCTCCGCTCGGACAGCTGGTCACCCCCAGTCACAGGTCGCTCGCTGTGGGGCACGGCCCAAGACCCCCATCTCCGCCCAGTCTCGGTGCCCACGATGAGGCGGAACAAGTCCCACTGGGTGTTGAAGGGCCCGAAGTGGTCCGTGTCCATCTCGAAGAACTCCAACGACCTTCCGCATCCGAGGCTCAGAGTCGAATCGGGTGGGTGGGAAGGAACCCCCCAAGAAGGCGTGTTTGTGCACCGCCGTGCTCCGTGCGTGCGTGGAAAGCGGAGAAGCCGGGTGGGCGAAGTAGAGAGGTTTTGGGGGCGACCTTGGCATGGGGAGTTGAGGTGGCTTGGGGTGTGCCAAAGATTGTGTGGATTGAGATACGTCTATAGTTTCCTTCTTCCAGGGGGTCGAACTGGAGGGTCTCTCTATTCTGAGGCAAACCCATTTGTAGCAGCTGTTCTTCTTGGGGCGCCTTCCCTTTCAGGAGAAGTTTTGAGGTGGCTGTGGCGTGTGCTACGGAGTCACCGTTTCCTCGACGTCCTGGTTCAACGGGACGTTGCGACTGGGCCGCTTCGATGTTCCACTCGCAGACGAGACGACGGTGGGTTTCGCGGGGAAAGAAAAGGATGGTGAAAAGAGATGAAGAGATGATCTGCTGGCTGCGACCCACGGAGACTTGAGAACATCGAAACGATCTACCAGGGGTCACAAACAGGTGGTGTTTGGTCCCATCCAGTGAGTGGATGTGACAGGGGCACCCCTAACCTCCAAGACTCCTGGTACCTGGTAGATGGGAGGAAACATCTACTAGCAGTCACACATGTGCCGGGGGTGCCGGGGTGGCTGTCACGTCACATCCACAAGTTCGCCCTGGATGGGACGAGCCACGCCCCCCGACGGCCCTCCATGTGACGCACCTGGGGAGACCTGGATCTTCACTCTGCCAGTGCCGAACTGAATCAAACCCCTACCAGCACCCTCCAACAGGCTGTTAGTTGAGGGTTGTTGGACCCTAACAGGTCTCAATTGGTGACCTGTCGGAGGGTCCTGGTATGGATCGAACGGAAGTCAACCGAACCGACCCGGTACGGTGATGTGTTCGACACTGTGTTCGACGTCGTGCCAAAAAAACTCGCGTCGGGTCCGTCGAAGCTTTACGGTACTTTCCTGGATCCCCAGCCGTTCTCCCGTGCCCCCCCCATGACACGGTCCAAAGAGGAAAGATCGTCCAAACAATGGATGCTGGTGCAACCCCCAATTCGCGATGAAGTGGGGTGTGAGTTCACTGCCCGAACGATGAAGCAAATGATTGAAACCACTGGTAAAGAATCCCTATAGCTTCAAAGATGACTGTAAAAAATTGTAGTTTACCTGGTTTTGTAGTGTAAAATCCATAAAAACCATGGTTCTTTGATGACTATTAATCCGGTCACAAATACTCTGCAGCCAGTGCTGCGATGTCCAGTCGTCCAGCCATTCATCGTTTCGCTTCGCAAATCTCATGGTGTCCATGTGTGGATCTCATCCGACTCACCAGATGAGATCGAGTTCCTGAAGTTCCTGAAATCCATCTTCTATCTTCACCACGGATTTCGGGTGTCCATGAACATCGCCCCTGGTTTCGAGCTCCTTCGGGCCATCCCACCCCTCCGCCTGGGGGTCCAGCTTCGTTTCTCTCCTTCGCCCTCCACGCCCCCCGGCACCACGCGCGACGGCGCCTTTGGCGCCCTGATCGCAACACCGGACAGTCCGCCCACGGCACAGGGTCACGTGCGGTCCGGCGATTTACGCGTGTTCAGCGCCGGCCAAACCGCGTAGGACACCCGCGTCGCGTCGCGCCTGGAGTAGAGCTGCAGGTTGGCGGCCACGCTGCTGCGGTTCTGCAGCGGGTCGACGCGCGCCTCCTCGGGCCAATAGCAGGTACCCACCTGCACAGCGCAGCCCGGCGCGCGGGGGTGGGCGGCTCCAGTGCTTTGGGCGGCTTCGCGTGTGCCATCTGGGTCAGAGTCAGATGGATAATGGAAGCATGTGAAAGAAATGGGGGGAGGAGAAGCCTGGAAGCTGCCTTGTTTGGATGGTTCAGAAGATGTGGCATCATCTATACCTGGCTTTGGTGACCTCTTTGGAGTGCCAGTGACATGCCCAAGTGACCTCAAACTGGGATATCAAGTTAGGTCACTTTGAAGAACCAGGTGTAACTGAGCATCTGCAATCTTCTCAGGGATTCTGGTCTATCGCCAACAGCCATCGCCGCACATCCTTTGCTTCCGTCCCTGTTCCGTCCACCTGTCAAAACTGTCGTTCGACCTCTTCCAGCTGTTCACCCGCTCAGCCGATGCACGGACTTCCCTCGGCTCAGCCGAGCCCTGATTCGCCCCGATGAGGCGAGGAGGCGCCGTGCACCGCCCCACCCAACGCGGCGCACCGCCCCAAACGACGAACGACTTTGGTACCTGCAAGATGTGGTGCTCGCTCTGGAAGAAGGGCGTGGGGAGGGGTTGTGTGATGCTGCCAGCCACCAAAATGTCAAGTCCTTGGAGCGCCAAGCCGGAGCGCCACGGCTTCCAAGCGAGTAGTCAGCGGAGCGAGTAGCGGAGCGAGTAGTGAGTAGTAGCGAGAGCAAGCGAGGTGTCATGCGTTTTGTTTCTCATGGAGGCGTAAGTTGTTCCTGGTTTTCTTTGGGGGAAGGAGGAGCGGTGTTTCTCTGTTGTTTTCAGTTCCTTTTTGGCCCCTAAGGAGGTCGCCAGCAATGCTAAGATGTGCACGGCATGGTCCTACAATGGTCATCTTGACCATAGCAAGCTTTAAGAAAAAGAAGCAGCGAAAAAGGCGCCTTCTGAATGGATAGGCTTCAGCTTAGGCCTTGACGTGGTCGATTTCTCGACCACATCGCGACCGGTCGACCGACCTCGCAGACCTCCCCCACCCGAGCGTCGTTTGCTCACGCCTTCGGGCAGATACAAGGTGATCAGGTCACCTCGGATGACGGTGCTGGCTGAGCGATGAGATCGACGCAGGGGAATGAACTGCCCACCCTGGCACGAAGTCCTTCTTGTCCACCACTACCAGCACCCTCCAACAGGTCTCCTCTGGTGGCTTTTGGAGACTTAAAAGTCGCAGGTGGTGACCTGTTGGAGGGTCCTGGTATAGGCTACCAGTGGCACTAGTTCATGCAAACACCCACAGCGAGCGAAAGCGAGTTTCCGGCCGCGACACGACGTGCAGGCGTCGTCGCGGTCGCGCGAAGCAGCGTATGCTTCCCAGTGGCTGCTGTTCTGTCTGGGTGCCGAGCTTATGAAATCAAACAGCACCACAGCACGAATCGGGCGGCAGACGCGCTCCAGCGACATGGCCAGATTGAGGCCAATGTGCCCCCCCGTGGGAAATGGTGATGAAGACCATCTCGCCCACATCGCCTGGCGGCGAGGAATTTTCGAAGGAAGGGACCACGCACATCGTGCGGGATGGACGTGGTGGTTGCACATCGGAAAGAATCCTTTCAAAGGCTCCGCGGTGGACGTAGGTGCATGCTTTCAAGGTTTACAAATGCTGGCGGTTTCGGTGCTGCGTTCGTTGCCCTTCTCCAGTCCTTGTTGGACCGAGCAGTTTTTTTTTATCGTCCGGCAGCGAACCGGCGGTGGTGTGCAACTCAGGTGTTTGGGATGAAAAACGTGTCCCCTGATGAGTCATAGGCACCTACTCAAAAAGAGATCTGCTGTACCAAAACATCCGAGGGAACACCACTTCCTACTGTCCCTACACAGCCTAATTCTACATTACATCTCCAACTTCCACAACAAACACAAAAAGAAGGGCACCCACAGGAGCGACCTCCCGTTCTACGTAGCGCCTCACACCAACCACCCCGCAAGCGTCTCCCACGAACCCCAAAAAGGTCTCCCACCAACCCCTGCGCGCAGAGCGCTCGTGATCTCGGTGCCTTCCTCCAGAATGGGTCCGGTAGCCACCAGCTGCGAGGCGAAGGGCGACACCATCGCCATCTGCTCGCCCGCACAGGGCGTGGAGAGGCCCAGGTGAGGATACACCGCTTCGACCCAGGGCAATGTCCTTGGACCGTCGGGAACGCTGACCTCCCTAGCGCCGATCGGTTGCTGGGACGCGGTGAGCCCGGAGCGCGCAGGTTCGAGGGTCTTTTTGGGGGGGTGCACGAAAAGATGCTGTTTCTGTTAGATAGATACAAAGAAGATCAAAGAAGTGAATTAAGAACAAGAAGAATACAATGAACAAACACATCACTTGGACAACGACACCGTCGAACACTGAGCAGGAAACCCTCTTTGAGGCCTTCAGACACGTGGATAAAGCATTGCACATCAGTACCTGGAGTCTCAAAGTACCTCTGAAAATGGGTACAAGGTACTTTGGAGGGTCCAGGTACTGGCAATGCTTCTCATCCGCCATTTCCTCCCAAACCCCTGGGCCCTTTCCACCCACCCCATCCCCGCCCGCCCGGATTCAGCACAGTCGAAGGACATCCGGCGCTTCTTCTCGAAATAGCCCCCTCCACCGAAGAGAGCGAAGGTCAACTGACCTTGAGGGGCGAGGAATGGGACCTGGGATCTCCAGTCGTGGACTGCGCGCAGACGGCAGTCGCATGAAGTGAAGTACATTCATTCCAGGAAGCCGGCTTGTTTTGTCCATTTGGTTCAACCCTGCGTTCTGCCGAGACCTGAATCTTCCAACTGTCGTTCTGCCGAACCTTGCTGGTTTCCTTGATGAAAAAGGCCAACACATTGAACAGATTGGAAGATCTAGGTATGATTGAAGAATGGAAACATCTTCACATCAAAATCCAACACTTGCGTGGGTGGGTCAGCTAGAGCACCAACATCTGTCGCGGATTCCCTTCTTCTGCCCAGTTTAAAATGCTCCAAGCTTGGCTCCTCCCTCAAAAAAGTGGTGTTGTGGCGAAAAAAGCCTCACATGGGCCCTGGAAGTCAAAGACTAGAATGGTCTGACTAGTGACGAACGGTGGCCCGACTCCAGGAAGGAACCCTGAAACCTTCAGTCGGTCATAGTCGAACTGGACTTCTACCAGCACCTTCCAACAGGTCTCCGAAATGGAGGCTTTTGTAGACTTAAAAGTCGCAGGTGGTGACCTGTTGGAAGGTCCTGGTAGGGTGGGATGTGGGAGTTGATTGAGAAGACAATCAACTCATCCCAACTTCAGACCACAGGCCGATGTCCGGCCCGCCAAGTGGACCGGTTCAAATGCTCGGATGAAAGATGGAAAAAGATGACCCGAGTTCAGGGAATTTCTGAAAACTTCCCGGTGCATCTTGGGGAGTGGTCGATCTGTTCCGAAAACCCTCAGAAAAAGGAACATGCTGGAGAGATGGGGCATGATACCCGGTCGGTGAATGTGGGGAATCTGTCTCGACCTCCCAGATTCGACCTCCCAGCACCCGTTCGACCTGCCGCCACACCTGGTCCACCTTTTTAAGTCTCCACCTTTAAGCCTCTATTCTCTGGACGAGTCGGGTGCTGCTAGGGTGTATTCCGCGGGAATCCCAAAACGTCCACACGTCCGGACAGAACGAAGCGGAGGTGGACAGAACGAAGCGGGCATCCCAGGCAGAACTCAGCCGAAGCCGGGAACAAGGCTATCCCACGGCATCCAGGCAACCTACGAGAGCTCGCTGGGAGTCCGGTTCCAGTTCGACTAAAACCAGTTCGACCGGTTACGAGGGCCCCTGGTTCCTTAGTACTCGTGGGAACTGCCTGGGATGCACTGGGTATGGTTTTAGTCTATACCAGGACACACAGTCGGGGTACTTAATGGACTGAGGAGCTATCAATGGAAGCCCCTTAGTCCGGGTGTCCTGGTACACCGCTGGGGACTCCCAGCGAGCCCTGGATGCCCTGGATGATCTGGGTGACTGAACCAGTCTCAGAGTCCCACGCTTCGCCGACCACACTGTAGCCCCACGCCTGAAATCCTCCAACTGGTCCCTGACTCTAGCACCCCCCTCGCCCCCAAGTCCCACCCTCGCCCTCGCCCGACCTCGTTTCTTCGCCAACTTCAGCTCCTTCGCCTTCTCCCGCCAGTTCACGCGCCGCACCGAACTGCTCGGATCGTGCGCCGCGCGAGCCGCAGGGCGCGGCTCTGCACCCAGGGAATAGCGCTTGCGGCCGTCGCGCAGCGTCCTGCCGGCCCGAACTCGGCCGCGCGGGGTTCGGAAGCTCTGCGCATGGAAGATACAGTCCAGCACCTTCCCTGCCAGGTCTCTGGAGGCTTTTGTAGACTTTTTCAAGTGGCAACTGGTGACCTGTTGGAAGGTCCTGGGTGAGAGAGGTTGTGTTGCATTTGTTCAGTACTTGGGGAAGTAACTGGCTGCAGTTGGTAGGAAAACCTGACAAATGACTTGGTCATCTTTGGGGGAGAAGTGCTGCCTGTCAGAGACCCTGTCTTGCCATGAAATCCTGCAGCTGAAATCCGGCTGGCCATGGCAGAAAAAACACTCTGTAGCTCCGAGTTCAGCTGATGTCAAGTCTCTGATCGTCCTACTTGGGGCAGCTTTGTGCCGCAACTTGTTCGGTGTTTTTCTCCAAAGCAAAAAAAGACATCCAGGGGTCACAAAGGGTTGGTGTTTAGTCCCTAAGTGAGTGGATGTTCTGGGCACCCCTATCCTGCTGGGAAATATTTTTTCGGGGGGGGATTCGGGGTGATAAAGGATTTTCCCAATTTGAATCTGTTGGTGATGGCATGTTTCACATCGATCCAACCATCGACGACCAAACCATCGATCCAACCATCTGGTCAACCGCAACATCCACCGCACTTCATCTGGCGCAAAACGCCATCAGACGCGACGTCCAATGTCCTCCCTTGTTTCAAGTCAGCTGACCCAAGTTCAACTGAGAACTCACCTGCAGACTCTCAACACTTCACTCAATATATACCCTGGGAGTCCAAGACTATTTTTAAAACGGTCTGAATTGGTGATCCGAGTGAAAAGGAACTTCCTGAACACTTGCGTGGTGCCTAAAATAGTCGAACTGGACTTCTAGGGTATATGGCACTTCGAGCCGCCTCCCAGAACCCCCAGGCCACACCGACGTCGACGTCGCGCGTCCCCGACGTTGGACCGAACCCGGATGCTCCGGATCTGTTCGACCGGGCGCCACTCGAGGCGCGGCGCCTGGCGGCGGCGGGACAGGCCGATTCAGATGTTGATATCAGCTGCTTGCTTGTTGACCTTGAGGAGAAGTGTATGTTCTTCCAACGAACTTCGCTCCTCTTCCTCCCCAGAGGTGACCTGTCTTTGTCTCCCTCGTCTCTTTGGAGCCCCTGGACGGCTGTTTCCTGCAGTGCCCAGCAGGCTGGACGTCAACAAAACACGTCAACACCAGAGGTTGAAGAAGCCGAAAATCCGTGGGATTCCGGTCAGGAACTCCTGTTTCTCTGTAAGGATTTGTTTAGGATTGTAGCTTGGGACGCGTGCCAAGAGAGGTTAAGTCGGTGAAGTCACCTGAAAAAGGATCCGTCATTACTGGGGTACCCAACCTGGGATAGTCTATAGGTTGAGTTTGTCCTATTACCTGTATCAGTCAGTAGACAAGAACATCACTATTTTAGAGATGAGAAGGCCTGCAACTGAACCATCATCATCCACTAAAACCTGCTGTTTTTCATGGCATAGACCCAATCTATTTACCCTGGAAGTCCAGTCGACCAATTTAAAAGGGTTGACTTAAAGCCAAGTAGTGCCAAATCCTTAGTAAAACAATGCTTTGCCAGTACATTCAGGACCAAACCGTTGACGCAAGTTGGTCACGCAAAATCATGACTCTCCATTTTGAGGTATCCAAAGCACCAGAAGATCAGAGCTGGGGGACAGTGCCACACCAGACCTGCCCAGGACAAAATGCCGCCACTGGGGGGTGCTGGTGGTCACAACTCCATCTGACCTCCAAGCCGATTGCGGACTCCTGGGGACGACGAAGGGTCTCCCCGACGGTCGGGGTCAGTTTTCGCCCGCCACCGAACCTGCCCGTCTGACTTCGGCCGCACCTCTGGAGAGTCTTTCACTGGAGGTGGCTGCCAGGTATCATTCAGGGCGGCCAAGGCCTTCTGCCGGAGGTGCGGTGGGTGGGTGGGTGTTCCACACACCCCGAACACCCGGACCCTCGGACGCGTGGCGCGTGGAAAAGATCCTTTTTTGGGCACCCCCAACTGCCCAAATATACGGTCAAACTTCCTATCAAAACAGGGGTCGTGTCTGGCTTCTATAGTTCAGAAAAACAAGGGGAGCTTGTTGATCTCCATGCCGGTGCCATCCTCTTTCCAGCCTCCCAAGAGCAGAAGATGTGGAATTATATAGCTAGGAGAAAAAAGGATGACAAGACCCACCAACACACAGATCCTCCACCACCCACCAATTTGCTCGCTTTCAACTGCGTTTCCCCCCGGCTCCCGCCGCCTGCGCCGCGCTGACCGCGCCGACCGCCTCGCACACGGGCTGATCCGCACCGACCTCATCCGGGGGAGCGGAAGCTCGGCGTCCAGACGCGTCCAGACGTTGAGAAGGATCGTGCTCGGCCCATCGTTTTCACATGCATGATCCTGCAGCTGGGAAGAGGCTTGGTGCAAGGTGCTGTCTTGGTGCAACTTGGTGCTGTCTTGGTGCAACTTGGTGCTGGCAACACAGTATGTGTCCTGTGTCTCAACAATGCATCTTTCCAACTTCCAATGAAGCACCCGAACCGGATGCAGGAAATCTCTCCCACCCGCGGCACTGAGATCGTGCCGGTCACAAAGAGAGGCCGGTCTACTGGCCAAGCCCCGTGTGACCTCTACCAGGACCTTCTACCAGGACACCCCGTAAACCTTGAATCTTTTACCAATCCTTAATAACGATTCCCCATATATCAGAACCTGACACTCCTCCCCGGTGGCTTTTGGACACCCCGTTCGTTCTTCACCTCTAAAAACCGAACGAGGCGAACTGGACACAAACACCGTCCGGGTATTTGGGGGTCACGACCTCTTCCGGCTGGAAGTCGGTCGCGCCCGGAACGGGCCCTGACCCAACAAGTGGGACCACCCCAACTCCGTCCTAAACCTCCGAACTCATGCCGGCGCCCTGGTGCCACCCAAGCTGCTAGGGCTGTCCGGAAGCTGCCTCCCAGCGCTCCCAGCGCTCGCAGCTCCCTCCGCGCGTCCTGAGTGGCTCCGTGCTCTGGACGGTCCGTCTGTTCTGAATGGACGATCTGAATAGTCCAAAGGACATGGGAATTGGGGGTCAAGAACTCATACCAATCTGCGACCCCCACATCCCAGACCTTGAAGAAGCCAAGATCGACTGAGACGATCCCAGTTGGGTAATGCAGGTATCTCCATCCTTTCAGATCATCGAACCCTGGCGTCGCATCTCCCGAAACCTATCGGTGTTTGAGTCTCTCGAGACTCAGAAGCAAGTCCAGTCCGAAGCAAGGCTGCGATAACTCAGCATGGCTGCACTCAGAGCTGCTCTGAGTGCTGACCATGGCCGTCTCTGGACGTCCGGTCCCTTTCTTTCACCGGCCGACGACAGGCTCAACGAGGACCGGTGACAGGTGAAGACCGGTGAAGACCGTGACCGTCCAGGTCGGGTCGGGTCGGGGTGCCACACCAGCGGACCGGACCCAACGAATCCATGGGAGGCTCCTGGGGGGCGGGAGTCACGTGACGCGACAGACATGGGGTGCCGGTGCCGAAGCCGTTCGGAAGGAGGAGTACAGGTGCCCCGGAAGTCACATCCACGTTCGCCCTGGATGGGACTGAAAACCACCCAACTCCATGTGACTCCTAAAGGTTCGAGAAGAAGTGGTCTTATACGGGAAATATATCAAGAACTTGCCTGGGGAAAATGGACCTGGAATCCTCTCCACCAACAGTTAGGGTCCGCATCTGGTGCAAAATTGGCAGACTAAGAGGACATCAAGGATGCTTCTGCCATCCATTCTTCGTTGTCCGCATTCCTTTGCCACTACCGTCCCCAGGTCAAGGACCTCTTGTTGAAGTTGATCATATGTCCCAGACGCTCCATAGGACTGCCATGATATGCCGCCCCATTGACCCCTCTGGCACCACCCCTGGCCTGATCGCCATATATTCCAGTCCCATAGAGCGTCTGGGTGTAGTAACCCGTAACCCCCGTTGTTACGTCAGACTGAACCTGGTTCTACGGCAGAGCTAGGACAGAGAGACCGAAACGTCTCCACTACCCCCCCAACCGCCCTCACCAAGGCTCGATCTTCTTTGCCCCCTCCGAGGGGAAGAAGGAGCTCAAACCCGTCTCGACGACCTGCGCCGGGTCGGGGCGTGCTGAACAGCAGCCAGGCCCGGTGCTCCACGAGGTGCGTGAGGAATCGTCGGAAAGACTCAGAAGTGGAGGAAAAAGGCGAAACGCCGAACGCTCAGAACGTCCAACTTCCATGGTTTCCACGGTAGAACAACCTCCCAGAAATCCGAGCATGTCGCCCTCTGGATTCCTAAACGAAGAGGCTGTTCAATCATCAAGTCATGGGATGCATAGCTTCTCATCAAGTCCATGACTCTCCTCTCATGCCGCTGTCACGACTGCCACGCGGGGAGGAGACCGTCCGCCCTCGCTCCCAAGTGATGAATCCCACCACGCCTTCAAGGACACGGTGCCGGCATGGAACGGCCGATCGAAGACCTGCGCGTCGTGAGACGGACCCGACCACTGGTGATGTGAAGACCTGAGGTCGACCACTGGAGGTGCCAAGATGAAGCCCCACAAGCCATGCAAGAGATCCAAGCTTAAGGGCCACGCAAGATGTCTGAAGCTTAAGGGATTGCTAGCTTCGAATACTAAGAGAACGGCCGTTCCAAGCCTGAGGGGGCCGACTGGTTCGACCGCTGATCAAGTCGATGTATTCCACCCGGTTCTCCATTTGGTCTTCTTTGAAACCCTGGGAGCCCCTCTTCTGTTGAGCAAAGGAGCAGGAGCGGACGAACCCCGACAGAGGACAGAGGAGCAGAGGGACGCTGGATGGCCCCTTTTTGGGCCCAAAAAGACCTCCACTTGTAGTGGACTTCAATTGCGTTCATTGATGCTACTCATGATAGTGGACCCTCCAAAGGGTGTCTACAAATAGCCTCGAAACTAGGACACCCCCATTACTGGGGGTCCTGGAAGTAGACACCTCTTGGAGGGTCCTGGCATTTCCCAGGACCCTCGACCCTGCCACCCCCGATTCCACGGCCAAAGCTCCGAAGAGGGCAGCGGCATCGGCCGAGCTCCCGAAAGCAGCAACCGAGCCCGTCGTGACGGCAGGGCCCAGGTGCCGCGGGCACCTCGGAAGACCTTGGGTGGAGGCAGAAGCTGGGCGGGGAACCTCGCCAGCAGAAGCTGCTCCAAAAAGGGATCCAGTCGTACCTTGTCAGGATTGGAGATACTGTTATATGTAGTTTTGGAGGGTCCAGTCGTACCGAACCTGAGGTTCGGTGGCAGTGGGCCCTAGGGATTACGATCCAAAACTCCCGGAGTCATGGAGTTGGGTGGTGTCCATGAGCACCGCACCCAACCTCATGGAACGGCTGCGCTTTTTTCGAACGTACGGGTCATAGAGTCGGATCTTCGACGCGCCATGACGCACCGGTGTCGGACGATACGCACATCTCTGCAGATACGATCACGCGTCTCTGGGACACGTGAAAACCTGAAAAATGGTACATACCAGCACCCCCCTGATTGGGGCGGTTAATGGACATCCCAAATCTCCTCCAAAAACCCATTAGTAGACACCCCGACTGGGCGCCCTGGTAGGCTTCAGAACTGAAAAAGTTCTTGAAACCGAACGAGACCAAGCTGAAAAACCGAACGGCCAACGGCAAAGCTGAAAAAACAAAACATCGATTTCGCACATGCCAGGGACCAACGCTGCCTGCTCCTTGAGCTTCGGGTGAACGATTGAAGCTTGGGAAGCCTGCACTTTGACTTTGGAGATGTTGAAGCTGACTGGAACCATCCGAGTGGGACAAAGCCTGGAATTCCAGGCAGTGCGTGTTGCGCTCGTCGCCCAATCCCGCAACTGGTCTGAGTAGATCAGCTTCTCCATGTGAACTTCAGACACTGCTAGCTTCTGTCTCTGGGCTGGCACCTCAAGATGCACTGGGTCAAAATGTGTGCACCCCTCTCACAAAGTTGTCATTTAATGTATATAACCACTTCAATCTCACATCCACACTCTTCGCCCCCAGTACTAGTGCAGTCGAAGCTCTGACACTGGTAAAGAAATGCTCTGGACCTGGCAGGTTTCGGGTGCTGGTTCAGGTTTTATCCTCTTTGAGGACATAGAGCCAACCGCCAAGATAGTGAGGTTATAATTCATCCATAATTCCCTAGGGATCCAGGAAAGTGCCGAACCTCAGGTTCGGTACGACTGGACTTTTCTGGCACCTATATCAGCGTGTCGAACACATCACCGTACCTGAGGTTCGGTACTTTCCTGGATCCTCAGGGATGGGTGGGGGACGATGTTCCTCAAGAGTCTACAGCTCTTCCCATCCTCTCTCGACCCAACGAACTGACTGGCCGGAACCGGTTTTTCCCTCGGCGGTTACCAGCACCCTCCTGGCCAGGCTGTTAGTTGAGGGTTTTGCAAACATCCAGTCTTCCGGACATGTACTGTGACTCACTCGCCACATGCAAGAGAGCAAATCCATGTGGATTTGATCCACATCCTGCAGATGTCCTTTCCACATGACCTTCATCTTCCTTCACCTGACCTCTAAATGCAAACCCAAGGTTCCACATCCAGTGTCAGCGGCAAGAGTCGAACTCCTGTTCTCATGGCCATGACCTCTAGGACTTCTGGTCCCTTCACGGGGAAGTTCGGAGGCTGAACCTGGCAGGATCCATGAATCGAAAGCAAATTCAACTTGGACCGGACCACTTCTGGAGCGTTTTGACCCTGCAGAACGCAGGGGTTTGGACCCGAACCAAACCTTCACCGAACTGAGGGTCCTTGATTCTTAGGGTATCGCCTGAGACTTTGACTTCAGACCCCGAACTGGTTGCGATGGAGTAAAAGCCTGCCAGGGTGGGGGAAAAGCAGTTCGTGACGCGGAACGAGCGAGCTTCGCATTCAAGCAAAGCCTGGTTGGCAATCCTGAGGCCTAAAAGTGAAGATCTGGGAGGCAGGTGTAAGGTTAGACTCTTGATTGATGAACCTCCCCCCCATATGACGAAGCTTTACAATCTAGTTTGATTCAAGATGGTCATCAAGAGTCGAGAGCCGAGACGTGAACATCAAATGGTGGATTCCCTCGGCCCCCTCCTCTAACCGGCATGGCCCGCGGAGGAACCATGGCGTAAATCCATCGATCTTCCAACGACATGAAATGTTCCCCAAACAAACGGCTGCTTTTATGAAGTTCAGAAATGTTGCACTACGTTGGAAGATGTACATCAGCACCCTCCAACAGGTCACCACCTGACATTTTTAAGTCTCCAAAAGCCTCCAGAGGAGACCTGTAGAGTCGGGTGCTGAAAGGTATCATGGATCTTGGGCAACAAGCACCACACTCAGCGCAAGCCCCCACCACACTCTCCCCCCCCCCCCCCCCCCGGCCTGCACGTCACCCACCTCCGCTTGGCCGCTGCACTCGTGGCCCGCGGGCTTCGCGGGCTCCGCGGGCTCGTCCCGTGGCGCGCGGCCGGGGCCGCGGCGCGGCGCCTCGCGCAGCTGCTTCCGCACGGAGACCAAGTGCGCGGCCCCGTGGGCCACCGGCACGATGGGAGGCACCCGGGAGCTCCAAGCCGCCGCGCCCCAAAAGGGCAACAGCTCCTGGGAGACAGCTTTCGGGCACGAGCTGGTCGGAGAGACAGGGGATTGGGAGGTGAAGGAGACAGCAACACAGGACCCTACGTACGTCCAGTTTGACCCAGTAAGACCTGGTCTGCCCTACCTCCTTAAGTATTGGTGTTTGTAACCATCCCCTGTAACATGAGGTCTTTGACTTGTAAGGGGAGCATGCCCGGCAGTTTTTCCGTGTTTCGGAAGTCCTGGTCGATTGTTTGCATGCCTGGCGACCACGGACCACGGACTTTTCGGTGACCAAGAAATCCTTCCACCCAGACGCGACCCTGGGCCCGAACCTATGGAGGGGTCGGACCCGAATCCTCGGGTCAGGGGTCTCAAATACTGAGCGTTTTGAGAGACCGGGAAAGGGCGTCGTGAACGACGGAGCGTCTGGGCAAAGAAAAGGCAGCCATGTGGGTCTAAAACCCTGAAGGACAAAGCTCCACGACCTGACCGAAGACGCTGGCGCTCGGACCGTGGACAGGTGTCCTGGAACTTCTGCACGTTCACCAGCTTCTCAAGGTGAGCTTGAGGCTTCTCAACCACCTTCTTGCCCTTTCCATGCACCTCACGGCGCGCCGCGCGTAAGAGAAACCACGGTCCTTTTCCGGGTGTCACGTTCCTTTTTCCGAAGGCACGCCTTCCTCGTTCAAAGGGACGGGTGTGAAACCAAAAACCGGGTCCTTTCGCCCGAAACGGCACTCCCGGACGAAGCTCCGACCCCACCTGCGACAGCGAGACGGGGTGTAAATGGAGACCGAAGCTTTTGGGGGGGCGACACCGACTTCGGCGGCTCCTAACGGCCTGACACCGACTTCGGTCCCGGTCCCACAGTGCGATTCCGGCTTCCTGCGGCCGGAGCTCCTGGATCGGTGGGACCATGGCGCTAATCACTGCCTTCACTGCCACGGTCACAGGTTCACCAATGACGCGTCGCCTGGAGCGCTTCAAGACCTCAGCTGGTCGCGACTGGAAGGGTAAGACGACCAGTCTCAGTTCCGCCATCGGTGTTCTTTCGCAGCTTGCAGCTTGCCTGAAAAACACCAAAAAATTGGGAACTGCGTGATCAGAGTCTGAGGTCTTCAAAAAATTGTTGTTTTGGTTGACCACCTTGATGAAGACCTTTTGAAGACCTTTCAGTCTGAGGTCTTCAAACTCTTCAAAACAGCCATTTCATTTGATGAAGAGTTTGGCTGTTTTGTGCGGATCGGCGAAGGGGATGCATCAGCGCTGCGAAATCGCAGGCCAACCCATGTCCATCCACCTAAAAAGCAACCTGAACCCTGGGAGTCAAAGACTATAAAAGGAATAGTCTTTGATAGGTAACTTGAGAGAGGAGGGGGTGAACGAAAGGTAGCAGGCAATCACAAGTAACGCTGGTGGAAGTCCATGACGGCGTGAACCGGCGCAGGGGGGATTTGATCCCCCCCCCCCGACGAACAGAATCAACTCTTACAGTACCAAACTCAATGCACAATCCCAACTCCTGATTGTAATACATTTTTGCTAAAGCAAGGAGAACTCAGGTAGCTCAAGCTACCTTTCGTGATTACCTGATTTCGGCAATGAACACTTCAGGCAAAGGATCGTCCTAACTTGACGATCCTTTGGGGCCCTTGGTCCCACCGGACGACCCACCGTCTTCGGAACAGTAGACAGCTGGACGCATCAGCGGCTGCAAGCCCTGAGCGTCTAAGTTTGACTCATTTGACCCCTAGGATCCAATATGATGGTAGTGGAAAAATCACTTCCAGGTGGGATAGTTCATTGATGATTCAAAACGGAAGTTTGAGGGTGACAACCAACCAAACATGAGATGTTCTTTTTGAGGTCAGGTGACGCTTCTGAAATTGAAAAAAAAATGTCCCTTGTCCCAGTGACCAATGGCGCATGCTGCTTCAGCGTCACAAAATCCGCGGAGGGATGGAAGATCGAAGGCTTTGCCGGCCTTTGGCCCTTGGAGATCTTGTTCACAACGACTGGAACGCTCAGGCCCATCCCTGCCGCGATCTCGACCGGAACGCTCAGCGTCGCGCAGAGCAGAGCCGTCGTGCGCGAGTTCATGGTGGCCAATTCTTGCAGTTTCTCCAGGTAGATCAGTTTTTCCATGTAGACTTCATACTCCAACGGCTGGTGTCTCTTGACCACCTCAATTTGATGGACAGTGAGTCTGAGCTGCAAAAAACACTCCGAAAACTGCAAAACTGGTCTCTCTGTGTGTGTACCTATAGATGGTGAATGTTGGCAAGGTGCGGTGACAGTGAGTCTGCGGACATTGCGACATGCACTGACGACATAGATTTTAGAAAATAGTACAAACTGCATGGGTGCCATCTGGTGTACAATCAACAGTTATATACTCGCAGACATCCACTTAGAACATCAAGCGATTGCAAATTTGTTTCGTGTGCGTGTGTGTATGTGTGTGTGTGTGTCAACTCCTGTCTCTAAGGAACTCGACCACACTAAGGCATGTAACGATTTAATTCGATTGACTATTCTTTTCATCATTGTGCAGTGCAGGGGGGGCAGTGGTCCTTTCAGCAATCGCTGCCTAACAAAGACATTGCTGATCGGATGTGATATGATTCTGGGACGCCAGAATCACGCACCTGCAACTTTAACCTTTGACCGGTTGTGTTTATCACGCTGTTACTTTAAAGTGCCAGTGCGCCTGTGTTGAAACATTTCTGTTCTTGCGGGCTCTTTCACCTTTCGGTTGTGCAAGTCAAGGTCTAGCTTCAGTAACGTAAAGTGTTAATCTCACGGAGATGTCGCAACTGATTTCGCTCTTGCGAGCCTTTATCTAAGTGTGTGTGCGTGTGCCTTGGAATCACAGGGATCCTGTAGGATTGTTTAGCTTCTTGATGTTCTTTCAGCAGGGGGACCCAGCATTTCACTGGGACTGTGTCCAACGAAGCTACCAGTGAAATGGGACATCCAGCTTGGACCTGCAACAATCTTTAAGTTTCCGTAAAGGGCTAATGCACTCGGCAGACAAGAGCGTACGTCGTCATTCTGTCGGCTCGTCCCATCGTGGAGTTTGACTTCTGGCCTTTAACTAAAGGCGCGCAGTCCAACTCACCTGGTTTTTCAGGATTTGGTTTCTTAGGCTGGCGTGGCACCGCTGTCAAGTTGTGGACCCGTTGAACGGGTGTTGGTCTATGTTTCCAATGCCGTGGAAACGCACGTGCCCAGAGCGGGCGTAGGTGGCCTAGGCCAAAGTTATTTGCCAAGACTTGTCGGATTATTGAATTCCAAGCTGGCTCATGCCTTTACGTGACCGCAGCGGTCTAAGCAGCCAGCCACTTTGGCAGTGCACAAGGTGACCACAGCGGTCAAAGTATTTGTGAGACTCGTTGGAGTGTGTCGAGCCTTAGAGCCGTAGTGATGAGTTCCTCCCCACCTGTTCCCGCTCCACCTGGGTATATCCACGAATTCCCGCGTGAGGGAACCCCCCTTTCCATACCGTCCCCAACATACCATTGCACCTCGCCTTCATGATGATGCTATTGGCCAACTCCGACTACCGCTGACGGCCTACCAGACCTTTCGTGAGATTCACCGATTCTCGTAAATTAGTTTCTCACCACCCCACCATCGTCTGGAGCTCAGTCCAACAAGAATGCCTCCCTTTGGGGAGGCGTGTGTGTGTGTGACCCTTGGAAGCACAGGGATCCTGTAGGATTGTTCAGCTTCTTGATGTTCTTTCAGCAGGGGGGACACAGCATTTCACTGGGACTGTGTCCAACGAAGCTACCAGTGAAATGGGATATCCAGCTTGGCCAGCTGGACGTCCCTGCAACAATTTGTAAGTTTCCGTAAAGGGCTAATGCACTCGGCAGACAAGAGCGTACGTCGTCATTCTGTCGGCTCGTCCCATCGTGGAGTTTGACTTCTGGCCTTTAACTAAAGGCGCGCAGTCCCACTCACCTGGTTTTTCAGGATTTGGTTTCTTAGGCTGGCGCGTGGCACCGCTGTCAAGTCAGTACGCATATACAATCATAAGTGTGTGTTTTCTTTTTAAAAAAGTCTACCAGCAGTCACAAAGGAATCACTATTGGAGGATAGGGGTGCCCATTGTCCACTCACTTAGGAACTAAAAATCGCGCCTTTGTGACTCCTGGTATAAGCATTTGTCTTCTTACAGTATAGGGAAAAAGAAAACAAAACAGTATGAAAAACAGCAGTAAAAAAAGATTTACAAAAATATGAAAAACAAAAAGCAAACATCCAAGGGATGCTCTGGACTCAAAACCGCCAAAGCTCTGTCACCGCCAAGGACACGCTCTGGATCATCGCCTGGACGGCCCTTCTCCGTTTTGGCTCACATGCGACCCACCTCTCCGTCGAGGTATCTGCCTCAGCGTTTCAGGTGAAAAAAACGTTCGAGGTCAACCGAGAAGGTCAACTAGAGGAGGTTTTTCTTGCCCTAAGAATCCTTGGGCTCTCCATGGCAGGGGTCGGACCCGAAACCGAAACGCAGGGGTCCGGGGCCGAACCAAACCCTATCTGTTTGAAGGCCCGGATTCTTAGGGTGGAAAAAAGAAAGGGGATTGCTGGAGCAGGACCATTGAAAAAGTGTTTTTTTTGTTTGGCCGCAAAAAGCAGTGAAGGGGTGTCCATTTAACCACCCCTTGGGGGTCCTGATAGTCTTTTTGTGTGAAGTTTGGCTCGAATATGGAAGGACAAGGCAAAAATGCTCAACTTGCTCATCCTGTCAGAAAGCTCTTTGCAAGAAGATGATCTGTTTGAGGCCTGAGGCCAGCTCTGAACCTACACAGAAGCAGACAGCTTTTCTCCACATGCCCAAGAACCCAGCTTTTCGTCTGGTTCAACTTGACGGAAGAGAGATGAAACGCCAATGCGGTCGCCAGCAATTTGCCCTTCAAGGGTCGCGCCGGAAAGGAAGGCATGGGACTGCGGGCACCGCTGCGGGCAGGCATGTCACCGATGCGTTTGGCCGTCAAGTCATGAAGAGCTCGTAGAAGCGGCAAGCCAGCCACGGTGATGTTCAACGACTGCCAGTGATGTGCGATGGCGGTTGGAGGGGATGGGGGGGGCTTGGCTGATCTGATCACTCATAATGACATTTTGACACTGTGATGTGGTGTTTTTGTTGCTGATTCGTCCTGGGTTGGGCTCAAAAAAGCATGGATTCGTCATGGGACATTGGGAGGATGAGAAGACTTCGCAGTAAGAAGACACTTCGCTGTACGAAGGACAAAGGACTTCAGCAAAGTCATGATGATTCCCCGAACGCAAGAGAGGAACATCCTTCTCCGTGTGGAGCTTCTTGCTCTGAGACCCTTCTTCTGGCTGCTCAACAATACGCACCTCAACCACTTGGCCGTGACTGCGGTATCCCAAGAGAAGCTGTGGCTATTTTTATAGAGCCCTCAGGTTCGCCTTCAGGAAAACACTAAGGGATGGAAGATGAAACATCAATCTCATGGAGCATGGAAACCGTCCTTGTTGGACCTCAACAAACAGTGGCCACCAGCCGTTGTGCCTCAACAAGAGTGCTATTTGAGGTCCAAAATCCGGTGACCGGAGTTCCGTTTCCCTCATGAAATACTGGAGTTGCTCATACCAGGACCCTCCAAGGGGTGTCCAATGGACTACCCCACACTACCTATAGGCTTCCATTGGCCTTGGAGGGTCCTGGTACAAGTTCACACGACTCTTACTTATGGAGAGCTCCGTGAGCTCCGAGTCTGGACCGCCCACGCCGGCCACGCGGTCCGCGGTCGTCTCGACCTTGAGCTCCGGCAGTCGCGGTTTCGGAGCCTCGGCCTCGGGGGGAGCCGGCGAGCCCGACGGAGGTCTTGCGCCGTCCGTCTGTGCCGATTCTGCTTGCCTTGTGCGCCTATTCTGCGTGGTGCCTTGCAACATCGAAGACAGCCCCGCTTTCGTTGGTGGGAGACCTGTTCGGTGGTTTTCCGCTCAAAGACTTTGGAGGTGCGGGGAGCTTCAACATGTTCACGGCCTAGGGCTTTGGTAGAAGCTTTCTGCAAGGAACAGGCCGAACGGGAATTTTGATGTTGGTGAAAACAGTGGAATGTAGCACAGTGGAATTCAGAGCTTACAAATCAAACAGTGAAGTTTCATCTTGGTGAAGCGGGAACCCCGGACAGAGACAGAGACTCATCGCCTCGTTTTTTTTCAGGAGTGATCTACTTCGACCAAATATATAGGTTCTCCCAGTAAGTACAACGCACATCAACGTACCTAGATCTTCCAACTATGCCAGCCATCATGTCTGCCGAACAAACGGCTGGTTTTTATAGATGATGTTCGTCAGAAATGTTGCACTACGTGTTCGTTTCGAGGCTAGCAGCCAGAAACCCCAGTCTCCCAGTTGTAACCACCGAGCCACCCTTTCCATCCACCTGGCAGAGAGGTGAAAGCCTCCCTTCACTTCCCACGAGGCGGTCGGAGGTCCAGTGGTGTCCTTGGCGCCCCGACGCGACCGATGTTCCAACGAGACCGGTTTGCGTCGGGGAGACGGTCCAAGGCTTCGCACGTCTCCGCATCCGAGGCCATCACCACGGACACGCGCCCTTTGGTTCGGGAAGGGGAAACGAAACAACCGTCTGTTCGTCACAGAAGGTGTTTCCTCCTCCTGGTTCGCCGTTTCAATTGTCGGCAGTGTCGGATCAAAGGCCAGAGTTCCGCAGGGGGTCAGCCTCCCGACTCGGCATGGACTCCCCCATCGCCCAGGGCCCATTTCCACGTTAGGTGAACAGGATGTGGCTCTACGCTGTACAAAAAAAAAAGATCAAGTGAACTGAGATATATACACCTACGGAACAAGGCTACGAACATGGGCAAACGCATGGGACCAGGAAGGCGAAAGCGATGGACACAAATCTGCTCAAATTTAATTAAAAGACCGTGCCGATATTCTAAGTTGCTCTGTCCTCTGCGGGCGCAGAGCGACCGGATATGCAGCTTGGCCTAATTGTAAACAAAGCAAAATGGTGGTGGGGCAAAGATTTTCTACAGGTCATGTCGCACCTTGGTAGGTGATTGGGTGAAGGTGGCACCCACACTCGAAGGCACGTCAAGGCCCATTATCTGGTGGTTGCGTATGGGCCATGACTCCGTAATTCCTAATTATATAATGCAGGTCAAGAATTCATGGGGCATCAGGATGTTGTATGGTATCGAAATCTTTCTTCTTGAATAAGGCATATCTTACGTGTTGTACGAAGGCATCACGCTTGGACGGCGTGACTTCTGGCCAGTTAGGCCATGGTGGAGGATCAGGGTGCGGCGGGAGCTCTGGTGCCAAAAAAATCCGTATGGAATGGTGGGTTGTGAGGCATCGTCTTAAGCATATCATGAATGTATATAAGTGTATGTAGCCTCCGCATTTGGCAACCGTGGGCGTCGAGACAACCCCCCTTCGTGATCGGAGGTAAAGCCCAGGCGCGTCAAACTTGATGTAGCCTGTTTCTTGTATCGTGGAAAAATACATGTGCGTGAGAAAGTCTGGATGTGCGTGAGAAATACCCACCCAGTTGAATTGGAAATATTCTTCATATCGGAGTCTTACTAATCAAGAGTCCATATTAAGGTGATGGCGGACCCCCCAAATTTCCGCGAAATCCACTTGTCACGAAGTTTGTCGCGAAAGGTCAATTCCTGAAACTTCTCTACTCGGAGGTGCTCTGGGTGGGGCGGCCACAGGTGCTCCTCGAGAGTGTTTCCCCCCGTTTGTTGTCAGAACACAGTCTGGCTCAATGGACTACATGGCTCGGTTGGAAAACCCCCCCCAGCTGGCATATGCTCAACAGGGTCAACCAACGCCAGCTGACAGCTGAGAGGCCATCTTCACTGAAGCACTTGCCCTGAAACGAAGACCAGCAAGTCGGGACTTGCAAAGCTTCGAGTCTTTCGAGCCCTCAAGTCGAAGCTTCAGGAGCACCTTCCGCACATCTGGCACACAATCGAGCTCTTCCTGCCGTGGGGGGCGCAAAATCTGCAGCCCCGGTGTCCCCGAACCAGTTCGATCGTCGTCCGTCAGGATGCCGAAGAGCGCCATGACCATGACCACCAGAGTCAACCTGTTCTCCTCAGGTTGCGCGGCGTGACCTTCCCGGTCGTGGCACCCCTCTTTTGGTCTCAGGTGTTGTCGGGTGTGACCGCACCCGAAAAAACCAACGACATGCCAGGTTTGCCTTCACTTCACGGCTGGCTGTCGAAGTGACCAGCATCCGACGTGACCGGCAGGATCGACGTGACACCGAAAGAAGTCCAACGTGACGGCGATCGTCCGGTTGGGAGAGCCCCAAACGGCTCCCGAGCGCTGACCGAAGAAGACCAGTGGCGGGTTCTCTCATGCTGGCCCCAGCCTGGCCAAATCCTCGACCCAAAAAACGATGAAAGAGCATTGGGGCCAGTGATGAATTGCACAGGTCACCCCAACCAACCCCCTAAAAGACTCACGTGACACTCCAAAAAAACAGGAAAAAAAACCTGAGTGACTCGACCAGGACTCACTTGACCTTGACCTTGACCTTGGGTGAACCCCGCAATCAGAACCTCAAAGGTTCAGGTCCGGACGCCAAATGGCGTGTGGGACGGGTCTGGAGAGAGTGCCATACGAGAACATCTCGTACTATGAGGAGCTGCTCATGTAGATCTAGGTCTCCAAATGTGTCCAGTTCTTTGATGCCCAGACACGACTAATGGGACTGCTATATATGCCGCCCCATTGACCCCCCTGGCACCACCCCAACTGATCGGCATATATGGCAGTCTCATTAGTCGTGTCTTTGATGGGTTAGCGGTAAGCTGGTGATGCTTCAACTTCATCCACTTGGGACCGGACGGAATGAGCGTCAGTCTGATCCATTCGATGGATGTCGTGTCTTCGTCTGCTCGAAACCAAACGCGCGCGCAGAAAACTGCACGTGCGGCTGAGACCATCGACCAGCCTGAGACCGGCCCCCGGCCCTTTTGAGGGGTGGTGAATGGAAAGGGGCCCTGATCCCCTGAAAACCTCCCAGCACCTTCGAACAGGTTGTTTGAAGACCCTAACAAGTGGTTTCTGGGCACCTGTTGTCACCAGGAAGCACCTGTGAAGTCGGGTGCTGGTCTACAATCGGGCTATAACAGACATCCCGAGTTCCCCGGCATGGAAAGGGGCCCTTTGTGTAATCAAAGGGGCGACTCCAGCGTTCTCAAGTTCCAAACACCTCTCTCGCTGGCCGTGCCGGGCACGGCCATCGCAAGTTAGGGTTCATCCTGACAAAACTATAGAGTTCTTCACTACCAGGACCTTCCAACAGGTCACCACCTGCGACTTTCAAGTCTACAAAAGCCTCCATTTCGGAGACCTGTTGGAAGGTGCTGGTAACCCAATTTGGGGTAAATCCTGCACCAACCCCTTTTGGAGTTAAAAAAAGAAACGCGGATGAGATCCTCTCTCAAACCCTGTCCAAACCGTCCTTTTCCTCCCACTCCAACGTCGCTCGGAGCTCGCGACGCTCGACCGAGCTTCAGGGTCGAGGCCCACCACGTCGGCCGTGTCGCTGCGCCAACCCAAGTCTCCCGCCTGCGCGGTGTGGATGGAACGCGGGATGGAACAGAAGAAATCCAGCGGTTGGTTCGGGGGTGTGAAGAAAGAACGTCGACATCTTCGGTCCAAGTCGACTGGACCCGATGACCCAGTCGGAACTTAGGAAGTTCCCGAAGATGTTGGGTGGTGCCAACAGAGGTTGAAGAACCCGAACTAGACTATGCTATAGGTACCCCTGTAGGGTCCTATAAGGTCACTTAACCTCTGTTGGAACAAATAGTCGGTTCCTGGACTTCGCACATGAACCAGTTCACACCTGGAAAGAAAGGCTGAAAAGAACGGACGGTCACGCCAGTTCCTTCTTGGTGCTCCAACGTCGCAGGGAAACGCTGGTCGAGCCAGGTCACTATGAACACCGGAGTCGACGCAGAAACAAGTTGATGAGGACTACCCGCCACTTGTGCCACTTGTTCAAGACTTGAGCAGTTGGGAAGAGGAGCCAAGAACATCCACCCCAAGATCATCAATAGCACAAACTCCGGCAAAAAGCAGACCGGCAGAAGAAGTCAGATTCAAGAGAAACACGCAGTGAGGATGTCAAAAACAAACCACCCTGTGAAATGTGTCATCATGTTTCCTTCCTTTCAGACTTCTCATCTCATAGTCTCTTGCACCGTTCACTCTTCGCGAGGTTCCCATGAGCACAGACCTTCCCTCCTCACAGCCCGTCACAAACACTCCCGAGACCTCCACAGTCGTCTCTGCACGAACGACGGCGCCCACGGCGCCCGCCCGCCGCTCGGCGCGCTCGGCGCGACTCGCCCAGCGTCCGCAGAGCTGCGCGCCGGACATGGCGGTCGCTGGCAGGACCTCGCGGAGCACGGCGGGGGGGGGGGGGAGGGACGAAATCAAAAGAAGAGGCGCCACGGTTGGTCGTGAAACGCGCTCCGTGAAAAGCCGCGTGGCCGTGGCTTTGATATGGATGTTGCATGACCTTGCTCAAGGCGTTTGAGCCAGTTCGCTTGCTTTGCTGGGCCATGCCGGCGGTTTTGGGTCCCTGACAAAAGGCACACTGCAGCTGCTAGCTGTATACATCTTTCCCACCCAATACCTCGGACTGGGGGTAAGTGCGCAGGAGGAGCCGAGCGAGCGTGGAGCGCTGTTGGTGTGTGTTTTGCTCTTACCCAGACGCGACCCTGGAGTCCCTGGAGCCTCATATGGAGGGTCCAAATCCGAACCAATCCCGATCGCTTTTGAGGGGCCGGGAAGGGGCGGGTTCTTTCTCATGGAGCATCTGGGTAACTCCACTTTTGCATCTAAGCTCCACTTCCCCCCCCAGCACCTGCCCCGGCTCCAAAGTCGAGCGGCCAAGGTCGTGGGCGACTTCAGCTGCGCCGCGAAGCAACGGTGAAGGCTCTTTGACCTCGACGCTGGACCTTGGAAGACGCTCACGGCCAAGCTCGGCAGCGAAAGCCGCAGATCCGTCGCGTGGCCGCGCGAGGTCGAGGTCGCCCAGTCCTGGAGGTCTGGGCGGAGGAGTCGAAGAACTCATGAAAAGGATCCTCCAAGCCACCAATCTAATTAGGGAAAAAAATCGTTGAAGAAACAGAAACATATGATGGAAAGAGTTAGAAAAATGTAAAAGAATCATCTTGAATCAGCATGGTCCTGTCGAAAAAGAAAAGAAAAGAAATCATCCGGACGTCCTGTAACTTCTCCATGTAGACCAACTTCTCCATGTGACCCTGGCTCTCTGCCACTCTCCCCACGTCGCCCAGCGCCTCCAGCGTCCACAACGAAGGGACCGCGCGTGGCCGCACGCGACCGCGAACGCGTGACCGAGCCGCGCCGGCCTCCGCCACCAAGTCATGCAAGTGTCGATTCACGTGCACAGGAAGCGCTGGAGTCACCTGAGAAGCCTGCGAACTCAGCGAAGAACGCTGAGTGAAAGAAGAACGCTGCTGAGTTGGCGTTACAAAAACCATGTCATGCAATTGGTTTGAAGGGTCTTGGAAGTCGGTCGGGAACATGTAGCAGTGGGTTTGGGCCGTTTGGGTCGCCGAGGTGCGTGCGAGTCCTTGGCCCGTGTCCAAGCCAAGAGGTGGGGAGTTGAGGTGGGGAGTTGTGAAGCATCAAACACCAAACTGGTGAGCACCCAACGCAGGAGAATTATATATAATCAGTTCCAGCACCTGGCTGGACCTCGGGGTCACCTGGCTGTTGCAGCCGCCCCCCTCTCCTGGATCGGACCAATTACTTTCACAGGTCGACACCTGGTCCACCTTTGAGTCTCCAGCTACAGAAACCTGGCAGGTCGACCTGGTGCTGGTATAGATCTATTTAAGCCATTGATCCAACACCCGGACCCAGCTCCGGCCTTTTCTTTGCCATCAACGAGCGCAGGCTGCTTCTTCATCCGAATCTGCGTCATGATCTGGGCAGCTGGCCATGCCTGGAGTCCAGTGGGCGACCAAGGCCTACGAGCCCTCAACGCAGCAAGCAGAACCAGAATCGCTTTGCATACAAGCGCAGGATGCTTCCGAACAGCACATGTGAGGAATCGCAAGAGCCACAACCACCGGATAGAAAGCCGTGGCTTTCTGGCTCAAGAATAGCCCCAAAAGGGAAAAATCAGCACCACCGGTAGCGACCAGTGAGCCCCTTGATGCTGCCAGCTTCACCATCCAATCACTGCCTGCCTCCATGACCCAACGAGAGAACCCAACCCACCCCACCTCCCCAACCCTCTTTCAAGTCTTCAGGATCCCGCCTCCAAGCACGTAGGACGTGCTCGGGGACGGTGTTTGAAGAAGCCCTTGTCATCCGCGTTGGGGCTTTCCTTCGACACAGACGGCCGCCATGCTGAGCAGATCTGATCAGTCGAGTGGCTACTCTCGGAAGGGATGAGGGAGGCCATCGGAAAATGTTGGAATGAGGCTTACCCTTCGTTTGTTCTCTCAAGATGCAACCCTTAACCATTAACCCCCATTTCCTAAAAGTGTCTTTGCACGCCTTTTTCAAGATTCCTTGGATCCACAACCGGACTACAAACAAGACTTCCAAAAAACACAAAACCGTTGGCTGGGGAAGTCGGTCTACCTGTCTTTGAACGATGCCGGACCTCTTTGAACGGCCCAGTTGCCGCGACCTCGACCTGCTGTATACATATGAATACCACAAAAGCGTTGGGGGAGCGACATCAAACCATCTCCCGGTTCGCCGCCCTAGCCTTGACCAGGTTTCAAGTGCTTTTTCCCTGGTTTCGTCGTGTAGAAACCCTTAAGCGAAACAATGGTTGTTCGGTTAAGCAGATCCTCCAACTGTGCCAAATTTTTGTTTTTTGGCTGGTTTTATAGATGGAAAAACATCAATTTGACACCGTTGGAAGATCCAGGAGACTATCAAAAAACAAGGGTGGGCCAGGCCAATCGCAGGGATGCTCTGTCCCTGAAACATTTGGTCCGAAGGGTCGCAGTGGTGACGCGACCCGGACCGGTGGAGGTCCGGTCCGGAACGGAGAAAGACGCGGACCGGACGTCCGGTGCAGCTGGAGCTCTAAGACTGGTGGCAAACTATCCATGACCATGCTGACGGTGCTGACTCTGGTTTCCGCTTCGGGCAATGCAAAGAATTTTCCCATCTTCACGACTTTGGTCAGAAAGTTCAGCTTTGAAAGGTGTGAACGTGCCTGGCACATCGCACGAGCGACTCGGCGATGTTTTCTTCGAAAAAGAAGGTGTCACAGGAGGATTTCTGGTGGGTGACTCTCGGGTGACGCTCTCGCATACTTTCTCGCATCACAGGACTGCTCGCCGCACACATACCGAGATGTCATCACCAAACCAACACGGAGCATCCACACACAGGTTCCCATCATGTTCATGTGGGTCATGTGGTCTGCTGTTTAAGTCTAAGTGATGTCAGATGAATTCAGATTATGACATCATGTCGAGCTCGATCTTTGTTTCCCACCTCTCCCTACCGTGCCCTGTCAGGAGTTCAATGACTTCATGAAATAGTACTGGAGTTGGTCATACAAAAACATTATCCCGGCAAGAGACCCCAAACAGTGTGAGGCTGTGTGACGTCTATAAGCAGAAAGTCTAGAGATCTAGACGCATGGTCCAGAGAGGTGATGGTGGTGATCAAGGTGGGGCTCGTGGTGACGGTGGCGGCGGTGATGAGTGAGTGAGTGTGAGTGTGAGTGGGAGTGAGAGTGAGAGTGAGCATCTGAGAACACAAAGACTTCGAGGTTCACAAAGTACTGCACCTGCCACGAAATCACTTCGAGGTTCACAAAGTACTACGGCTGCCACGAAATCTGCACTTCGAGGTTCACCAAGTGCTGTGCCTGCAACGAAATCTGCACCTTCAGGTTCACCAAGTGCTGCAAGCGCTGTGCCTGCCACGAAATCTGCACATCGAGGTTCACCAAGTGCTGCACCTGCCACGAAATCTGCACTTCGAGGTTCACCAAGTGCAGTGCCTGCCACGAAATCTGCACTTCGAGGTTCACCAAGCGCTGTGCCTGCCACGAAATCTGCACTTGCCACGCAATCTGCACTTCGAGGTTCACCGAGTGCTGTGCCTGCCACGGAATCTGCACTTCGAGGTTCGCAAAGCGCTGTGCCTGTCACGAAATCTGCACTTCGAGGTTCACCAAGTGCTGCGCCTGCAACGAAATCTGCACCTTCAGGTTCACCAAGTGCTGCTCCTGCCACGAAATCTGCACTTCGAGGTTCACAAAGTGCTGCACCTGCCACGAAATCTGCACATCGAGGGTCACAGAGTGCTGTGCCTGCCACGAAATCTGCAAACGAGCCACATGTCCAAAAGTCTCGATTCACTGCACCTGTCACGAAATCTGAGCTCCTCGACGATCACCACCGTGTCCAAAGCGCTGCACCTGCCACGAAAACTGAAGTAAAACAGCTCGGATCCCTTGCACCTGTCACGAAAAGTCGACTTTCAAGCACCAAAACACGAGGTTTCCCTTGCGTCTGCCACGAAGAGTCACCATCATATGCGAAAATGCGCACGGCGCCACAACGAGAGCGCAGTCGTTAGAAGCACCCGCCCCATGCCCCCAGATTCTGCGAGCCTGCGCAGTCAAAATGCACTTCGAGGCTTTCGCGAGGCATGAATGTTCTGTAAATAGCAACGAATTAGCCGGACACGGCCTCGCGGAACAGCGATCTATAAGCACACCTGCTTTTCTACTAGCGTAAGAACTGTTGGAGTCTTACGGAGGTCAAAGACTAGGTTTGGACCTGGGTCAGACTGGACTTGTACGGTCTGGAATCTCTCTACCCATACCTAGATTGATCTTCCAACTACGCAAAAGCTCCGCCGAAGTTGGCTGGTTTTATTCATTGAAGTTCGGCAGACATGTTGTCATTGTATAGTTGAAAGATCGAGGTCTGGCAAAACCCACAGCTTCACCACCCAGCCTGCACCAGATGAATCGTTCGGGCGCCACGTAGACAGTGAACCGGTGGCACCACCTGCGAGCCAGAGCCGATCCTGCCCCCAACAACACTGAAGACATGGACCTTTTTCGTTTCCCTATAGAGTTCCAAAGACTGAGTATAACAATGTATTAAAACCCGCTACCAGCAGTCACAAGACGGGGTGCCGAACGAACGGAGGAAGTCGGGGTGCCCCTGTCACATCCACAGCCCCTGGATGGGACTGAAAACCACTGTGACTGCTAACATAGTGAGTGAGGTTTTACTTTGTGGACCAACATCCATCTGCAAAAACATCAGGTCCGTTCCTGCGCGGACGCTCGACCTGTCACGGAGGATCTGCTTCGACTGTAAGCACCCTCAAACGAGGGTTTTGGAGGGGCCCCAAACCCTGGTGAACTAGAGGGTTCGACCCCTTGTTATAGAGGATCCGCTTGGATCGAACATGCCACACCAAACGGACGTGCAGCGCGTGCGCCTGGGTCAGCAAAGAGCACAACTCTTGCAAGACGTGCTCCTTCCTCCGGCCATCCACCAAACTTGCTTTGTCGGGAATGGAGCTTTGCTTCTTCATGATGACTTGCATCTTCCGGCTCGAAGGAAACACCTGCGGCGGTGGCAGGGCGGTGGGGAGGGCGGTCGCTGAGTCTCGAGTCCCTCGAGCTTCTGCCACATGGTAAACATTCTGTCTTTCGCCTTCGTGTTTGGAGATGTTTGGGTCTGGACCTGTCAACCGGGGTCCGGACCCAAACCCATGACCTTCAGTTCGGGGTGTGGGAATACCGCACTTACACTTACACCCCAAGGATTGGATCGACGCCCCGAGCTGGGCCCCCCCCCCCCCCCGGGTTGGGCGGTCGGAAGGCCTACAATATGCCTACATTGACCCCCAAAACCACCCTAATAGGCATTTTGTGGCAGTCCCATGGAGCGTCTGGGGTACAGTACAACTTCTACTAAGACTGCCAAAACCTCTCCAGATCTCTCCGGATTCCCGTGGGGTGGTTGTTGATCCACCTAGAGCGTCGGGACCTCCGGACTGCGGGGACCTCCGGCCGGCTGTGGGGACGACCCTGGATGACCCCTGCATTCGAATTTCTGAAGGCCACCCTGGGCCGGAACGAATCCCTATCACAACCCTCCGAACTCGAGGTGTCTATAAATAGTCTTGTAAAGAGGTGAGGAACGGGGTGTCCAAAAACCACCGGGCTTGGAGGGTGCTGGTATAGGTTTTGAGGGACGAGAAGTACTCACGGAGCATCTGGGCGGACCTCACCGAAGCTCACCACCCCGCCTTCTCATCTTTCTCTTCACGGCTCTCCTGGAGAGTCGATCGTGTCGCCAACGAACGGCATGGAAAAACCCCCTGAGAGTCACACGAGGTCATGGGTCCCAAGTCAGGCTCACATGGGAAGTCCAGACCGGGTTGATGCAATGGGCACCGGGCAAGGGTCTCACCCAAGTCCGCGGATCCCCTGCGCAGTTCTGTGCCACCCATGTGCCAGTTACCTGGAACAAAGAAAACCAGCATCCTGGCAGAACAGCCACGGGTCTCCTCTTCCAAGAGAGGTGGAACAGCCCTATAGCCCATCCCATATGTACCCACTACAGGGTCCTATATGGTCTCTCAACCTCTCTTGGTTGTGGAGAGGGTCTTTGAAGGGCCCATGCCTGGACTGAGGTCGAACCATTGATGACCAGTTTCTGTCGGATGGTGGAAGTTGTGATTTTTGAAAGGGGTGGGGGCGCAAGGGCAGCATCTCTTCTTCTCTTCTTCTTTTCTTCCCTTCGACCGGCCAAAGGCCGTCGACTTGAGAATCGAAAGGAGCTGTGACAGTGACCAGACGTTCGTGGGCCGCGGATGAATATAGACCACAAGACAGGAAAGAGAGGCATGAAATTTGGTAGTAGTGGAAAGAACGGGATTGAGAATGGGTCATGTAGACTGTAGACTCTTGAATTCTCTAAACCACACCCCTCAGACATGGATTGTAGAGCCCCTTCAATATGATTTCAGGCTTGGTTCCTTTGATGAATCAAACCTCTTGCACGGGGCGAGTCAGAAGAAAACGCCGCGCCGAGCAGTTGAATCGTCGACGGATCCGGTCAACAGAACAAGTGTTGGAACTCCAAAGACTTTGCACCGCCGACGGCGGCCGAGTCATATATATATATATATAAGGTATATATATATCAGTATGAACACACGAGGTTGTTTGCGTTGTTTTCCATTTGAGAAGTACCAATATGGGATTGCATAGAGTTCCAATAACGGTGGTGTAGAAATGTATCGGGCTTGCCAGTCACCTCCTTGAGTAGAAAGTAACACATCCTCTACCCATCATGGATTGGAGATGATGTTCAAGTATGGACTTATAACGGAATGAGTATGACGGCATGAGTGGTGACAGCTGGACCGCCCTCTGCTCGAAAATAACATCCAAAATCGGTGCTTTTGCCCATGCGAAATCTCTCTCCGTAGCATCACTTGCACCATTGCACCTCCACAGTGTCGTGTCGGTTGACAAAACCCACATGAGTCAGAAACAAAGCCATCGAGACGGCAAAGCCAAACGAAGAAAGTGATGTCTCAACTCTTTGGCCGCTGTCGACCATGTCCTCCACTCGTCCAAGAGGTGGTTTGAAGACTTAAAGACGATGAGCTTCAGGGAACTGTCTTCCGAAAAGAATGTCAGTACCAACGACCGATTCGCGGTTGCCACGATCGCCACTCCTGAATCACATGCAAGCTCTGGCTGGGCTTCTTCGGAAGGGGATTCTCCAAATGAGCTTCAGGTAAAGGAAGAAAGTCCGCCTCCCGAGCATGGCAAAAAGCATGCTCTTAAGTGCTTGCACTCATCCCGTGTGTTCTGACCCCAAAAGCTTCCAGACCGGACCCCGTGTCACATAAAAACACCTTAGCGTCGACCCCGTTGACAGCACTTTGTTCAATTGTTCGTTGCTTTCAACAGCCACGGCCAGTCCATCTCATGACATGAAAGCCCATTCGATATAGATTCGCAGCAAGCACGCTGTTTGAGGACAAAAGAAAACCTCCTCTTGAGCCATCCCATTGACCAACATCCACTCATCCTCATCCTCCATCATCCTCCACCATCCATCCCGACCCCCCCCCCGCACCCAGCTGAAGTGGAAGGCCAAGGGTTTCTCACGGTCCACTGCTGGGGTCTCCGTGACCAATTTGGCTTTGAAGGTTTGCATCGCCCCGCGGTCCATGGAGATGTCCAAGCGCGAACAACCTCCGGTCTGGGGGCGAAGCAAGTGCGAAGCAGGTGGAGGTGGGATGAGGATGCTCCAAACGGTCTCACGGATGAGGCCTGTTGAGTACGGTGTGGAGTTCAGCGCCGAACTGCTCTTAGTTGGTTCCTGGTTTCCACCCACCCTGGTTTCGTCCAGTCGACCATCAAAAGAATGGTCTGACGAATTCGGTGGCCCCGTCGTCCAGGAACTTCCTCTACTTCAGGTCAAAAGATCGTCGGTTCCTGGACTTCAGTCGTCCAACTCTTTCCTCCCAGAACCGTCCGATCTCCCCAAACCTCCGTGGCACCACGGAAAGCCCTGACCGGATGTTCTTCGCCTGGGAAAGACCGAAAAAAAACTTGTTGCTCATGTGACCCGCACGATGGCAGAAGGCGCGTCATTCGGGAGAGTTTGAAGCCTCGACACGACAAACTGCCAAGACACAAAGCCAAATCGCAAAGGTGTCCAACACAAAAGCCCCAGCGCCATCCTTCATGCGAGCGCCGCTAGCGACCGCGGCAGATGCCGCGGCATCTGCACCGGCAGAGTTTGCACCAGTGCTCCGTTGCATGAATTGGGTCTTTGTGACCAGCTCCAAATTCGAAGCTTTGAGAAGCGGGCTTGCATAGTCTGTGAGCCAAGAACAGGAGACCATTTTTGAAGGCAGGCAATCACCACTGGTCTTGCAAGAATTGCTGTGTTGAAACATGAACCATTGGACTCTTCAACCCCAAGAACCGAAGGAGCTGCTGCCATCAGGGATCAGGGATCAGGAGCTGTGAAGATTCGAGAAAACATCGAAAAACGGGGGGGCAGGAACCAACAGAGGTGGGTCAGGACCCGAATGAACTCGACTATCCGAACCTTCGGCACCCCCCAGGTTTTCCGGGTCCGACTCGTGACCTGGTCACTATTCACCTCTGTTGGGAATCAAGGAATGCTGGCTCCCAAAATCTCAGACACCTCTTCATCCCCTATGAAAGTCCTTTAAGGACACACACTCTGAGACCGCACTGCTTTGAACTACATCCCGGCCACCACCATGTCCCAACCCCCCGAGGAGAGCTCCTTGAAACCCTGGCCACTGCCGCTGCCGTCGCTCCCTTTTTGGGGCCAAGCGACGAAATCATTCCAGGTTCCCCTCCCGCGGGAGGGGCCACGAACCGCTCCTCTCGCCCGGAACCGCCCGGTCCAACGATCTGGATGAGGGGCCGCGCGAGGTCGGAGCTGCGAGAGAACGCGGAGGTTGGAGGGATTCCAGTGACCCAACCAGCGACCCAGACCTTCTGAAAATCGATCGAAGGTCGAACGGGCCTCCGACCTTGGAGGAAACCTCCAGCCCCATTGGGATCCTTCGCATAACAAGCGGTTTTTTTGGGCAAGCATCCATTTGTTTCTGGCTGGGACTGAGTTTCCGGAACGTCGTCGATCGCTCGATCTAGGACTGATCTTCCTGCTTCTGCGGAACTGGGCTTCTGCCGAACTGGGAATTGAAATGAATGTACACTCTTCCAGGACCCCCTAAGGGGTGGTTAATGGATACCCCTTAACCTCTAAGGGGCTCTAAGTCTAATATGCCATAATTAGACACGCCCTGGCTTGAGGATGTTTTACCCCCAATATGAATCACACATAATTATGTAAGAGGTGTTACAATTCCATGTACTTCAGAAGAGTTCTTGATTGATTCAAGAGTGAACCTTACCCTTCTCAAGTCCCAAGTTCTTTCCACCGGCTCTTTTGGTCGGACCGAGAATCCCTCCGCCTCCGCGGCCCCCGGCCGATTCCAGCAGCAGCTGTGGCGGTTCGGCGTGGAACGTGGGGACCTGAAGGTACAGTCGAAACCTGGGAAACTCCAGTGGAACGGGGCAGAAACAAGTCTGGATGCAACTCCACAGTCCCAGTGGAACTTCCTGACTCTGGGAACTTCCTTGACTTCAAGGAGAAAAGAAACAGATCGGACTGGACGAACTCCGCGCAATCGGTTCCGTCCCAGTCGGAGTGTTTCCGTGTTTGACTGCCCCAAACTGAGCCTCCCCCAGTCCAGAAACACATGTCAAGCCTCCTCTCAACAGCGTTCTTGCCTTCTTGACCCTTCCCAAACATGAGCCTTAACCCTGCGATTCCGACGTCTTGACCGAGCCACAAAGCTGTTTTGCTCCAGATTCGACACTGTCTACTACCAGGTCAACCCATCCGACGTTCGTCCTTGTCAAACGGAAGGCTAGGGTCCAACCTCCAAAACCCTCATAGGCTCAGGAAGAGCCCCCTTTGGCTGGTCCACATGAAGCATTTCTCTCACACCAGGGTGGATGAAAAAGAAAAGAAAAGGAAGACCTCACCAGCCCCAAACAGAGTAACACATACATCGGTGTGCAGAAAGATTCTCCTATTCCAGTTGTCTCAGTTGTCCCTTAAGTTGGTTTGGAGGGGCATTTCCTCAATTCAACTGAGGGCAAAGGAAGCGGTCACAACGAAACAGTCCGAAATGGAACCAGGACATAGGAACCCCTATCCGCCATCGCTGCTAGCAAATCTATGAGTTGTCCATTCCAATCCGCTTGGGCAGCGCCCTCACCAGAAATGTCACTGTAGTTGACAAAAACGAACGACGACCAACGCTAGACGCCAGGAGTTCTTTTATGGTGTGCTTAGTGTGCCCAGAGTGGGCATCATTTAGCCCCAAAAAACGAACGAAACATGTCTCATGCGGATGGTTTCCTGCAAATGAAATGAACCACGGCCAAGTGTTCGGATATAATGCGAGGACCTGCCCAAGACGACTAGGATCGATCCTCCCCGCGCCGCGCAGGCGTGTGGATGGTATCAATTCACCACGGCGGGCGGCGAGGGCGGCGGTGGAAAGAGGAACATTGCAGTGACCGTTTTCATTAAGGGGTGGTAGTGGCGGTGGTGGTGCTGCTTGCGCTTGTGCTTTGTGTTTGTGTCTGTGGTCGGCAGTGGTGGTTGGGGTGGCGGTGGCGGTGGCAGGCGTTCGTGTCCACAAAATGGCACCAACACGTGGCAAGCCATGAAATGTGCACATCAAGGTCACACAATGTTGCAGATCAAGGTCACCCCAAAACGTGGCGAGCGGCCACGAAATCTGAAACGTCTGAAACCTGAAGATTGCCAAAACAAGTCTCCCAAAACAGCCTCCAAGGCCCAATACATCTAGGTTTGAGCGCCTCGAAGTGCACAATTGTTAGCAGCATGTTGCAACAATCACAGGATGTTTGATGTGATTAGGAAAAGGAACACTTTCCGAAGATAAGAACCTTCAAATCAGCAAAGGTCCACAACGAATTGAGCTCTTGCCAATTGAGTGCAGCTCAATGCGCACGCCACCCGCCGCTGCGTCCGCTGCTCAGACGTCGACGACTTCGATGCCAGTGTCGCCCAACAACTCAGCATCTGAGGGCGCTGCGCCTGGCCCGAACAAGACGGTGCAGGAGGGAGGACGCCCGGGCGGAGCTCGCCTCCTGCGCCGAGCCCTGAGGATGACTGGTTTTTCCACTTCGTTTCCCGCAAAGACACCACGAGGGGGACGAGGGGGAGGCGGGGAAAAATCCTCTGATGCGTTGGTGATTTTGGTCAGCACAAAAGTGTCCAAGTCAAACCAGCAAATCCTCCACCTTCTCCACCTACCAAAGCCCTCCGACCGATCCACCGGTCGTCGGCGCATCCCACCCCATCTGCCAGTCGTACCGAACCTGAGAGCTTCGGTGGGACTGGGTGCCGGGTCCAGTCATACCGAAGCCCGCGCCGCGCGGCGCCCGGCCCCACCTGAAGCAAACGCCAGCGGCGGCACCGCCGGCACGGGCGCCTTGCGGCTCGTCATGGTCGCCTCAGCGGCACCGGGACGGCGTAAAGAGAGCTTGGCACCAGAAATCCCCCACGCTAAGGATCCGCACCCGAAACAAAACGAGGGTTTGGAGGGTACAAACCCTTGTTATAGAGGGTTCAACCCCTTCTCAGGAGGGTCAAGGATCCTTAGGGCAGCAACCATGCCCCAAAAGCCTACCCGGACCCTCCAACAAGCTGTTTGGAGACCCGAGCACAGGTGGTGAACCTGGGCACCGGACTTGGAAACACAGGAAGCACCGAACTGAGTTGGGTTGCTGGTAGTTCTTTCTCAAGCAAAAAAATCATGGTTTTGGTATCTGGACCCTCCAACAGGTGTTTCTTGGTGGCAAGTCCGGTGCCCAGGTTCACCACCTGTTAGGGTCCCAGGCCACAGCCTGGCGAACGGAGGGTCCTGGTATGTGAATGCCTTTACTGTAACTGTTCATGGCAAACCTTTCGGCCCGCTGACACCAGGAGACTGACCTGTTCATCTACCTGCGACCTGACCCATTCCCCGCTCTTTTGCGCCGATGTGCGCTCGGTGATCCTGGGTGCGCTCGTTCCTTCGTTTTTTCCGTTTCGAAGGGTGGATCGAAACCAACGACGTGTAGATGCTTCTGCTAAACTTCATCCATAACTAGAACCCCAGTCTCAAGCAGAAACAATTGGATGTTCCGGCATTGAAGGTCCTTTACATAGCAAGTGGTTGTTTGTGGAAACAGCCTTTAATTTCGGGTGGTGACTGGGGTTCCACCAATTCAGCCCTTCGTGAAGGCAGGTCCATGGCGGAGGCATGAAGATCAATCGATCGAAGTGCTGGGTCCTCGGGGCGTTCTTGGGGCATGGCATGGCATGGGACGAAGGGGAAAAAGGGCTCCAGAGAGTCTCATCGAAGACGCATCGAAGGTCGGTGAAGACGCATCTCCTTCAGCATCCACAGAGAAGAACATCAACTTCAAGCACCAGGATCTGCTGCGTGACCTCTTTGGAGTGTCCAGTGACCTTTTACAGGCCTAAGTGACCTTATCCTGGAATCTCAAGTTCGGTCACTGTGAAGCTTCATTCTGCCATGACTGTACCCATCCTTGGCAGGAACTGTCGGCAGCGTCCCAAGCAAAGTGTCCTTCGCCATCCTTGATAGAAAACGGAAAAGAAACATATCCAATTTGGTTCAGCTTTCACGCGCTTTCCATTCTGTCATGACATTCTTTGGAGTTGCCTCAAGGCAAATTCCCTTCAATGACCCTGCGCAAGACTTTTGCAGCTGGCTTGACTCCAATAGTTCTCGGCAATCACAGGGCAAACCTACCAGGACCCTCCGACAGGTCACCACCTGCGACTTTTGAGTCTACAAAGGCCTCCAGAGGAGACGTGTTGGAAGGTGCTGGTAACTGTCCAATCCCTACGTTCGTCCTGTTTGACCCAGTAAAGCCTGGTCTTTTCCCTATCGTTTTGTATGACCGTCTCCAGTCCGCCGTGGGCGCACTTCTGACCGCAAGTGACCGATGTATGACCATCTCCATGCTTTCATGAGGTCCAACTGACTTGTAGGGAATGCTTTGTGGGTATCAAAACGTATCACACAAAGAAGCACAGATCCCTCCGACAGACCCGAACGACAGACTCAAAGAGGCCCGGGCATGGCAGCCCCTGGGGCGGCTGCCTCCAACGGGCTCGCCCACCATGTCTGCTGCTTCCATCGCCCTCCGCGGCAAGTCGTCCACGTTCCACGTTCCGTGCTGAGGGTTCGAGCCAGGTGCCACAACGTCTTAAGTCTTCCGGGAACGGGGGGGAGACGGTGTTCGACGGCTTAAGGCTTTGGACACCTCGGTCCACTCGCAAAAAGCTCCGTCCCCGCAGCGTGGTGCCGGTCTGGGCGTCAGTCGGTGCCGGTGAGCTCTCTGCATCGAGATGCTGCCTATACTCGACATGCCAACTTCCGCGCAACGGTGACCGTTGCTGACTGGCCGTCTCCCAATTCAGTTCCTCCCAGTCCGGTTGAGAGGTCGCTTCACGTTCGGACCGGCTGTGGTACATATGGGATGGGCGACAAGACCAGCTGTGAAAAACCTCTCGTGCGTGGCGTGATGCCATCGAGGTCGCGCAGCGAGATGCCATCGAGGTCGCGGCACTGAGGCACTGAACACGTTTGCCACCGACGAGATCAGCCGTTCGTGCCAAACATCCGTTGCCGCCGAAATCAGGGAGAAGGTCTCTCTCAGCGGCATAGCTGTTATCCGCAGCTGAACCGAGGATGCTCTCGGCAAAGCACCACAAACCGATGGGTGATTGACGCACTCGACCCCAAAAGCCGCTGGGTGAGGTTCAAGCACTCCTTTGGACCCGACTTCCTCCTCCACTTCTCACCACTTCTACCGCCCCCCAGCGGCCCCACCCACCAGGTGCCGGCACCTCGTTGATGGGACTCCGAGTCCACCTGGACGGACCCCAAGCTGAAGCGAAGCTGAAGCTGAAGCGAAGCGAAGGGCTTTGGCCATTGAAGGGATCTATACCACCATGGTTTTGATAGCCCGTTCTTCCCGAAGCACTATTGTTTTACTAAGGTTTTTACACTGCAAAACCAGATCAACTATTATAAAAATGGTCTTTGGCTTCCAGGGTAGAGCCTGAGTGACCTCCTTCTTTGGACCATCAACCAACCAACCAAAATATGGTCCAACTTCCTATCAAAACAGGGGTCATGTCTGGGCCCCAGGTACCAGCTGCTTCCGTTTGGGGTGACCTGGCTGGACAAGCCGGTAACCGGACAGCACACCGCTAGGGATGATCCTTGTACGAGGAAAATAGCCTTCCCTGAAATATGCCCTGCAGGAGGAAACCTTACCTCATGAAAGACTGGAGTCTCCAGTCATACTCTTACAGAGGTCGAAGGCGGTGTAGGGTGGACTTGTAGGGGATTCGTTTTGCTAAGGATTTTGTATAACCAGGAGGACTGGCGGTGGAGACTGTTCAGTATTCTGGCTTGCTGATGCTGGCGATGCCACTAGAAATACACAGCTCTGTAAGCACCATGGCGAAGCCAAACAGTGAGGCAAGCATCCTCAAAGAAAGCAGATGGGCTTGTTGTTTCTGGAGTAAACTGGCTCACTTGCTGGTGCCATGTGTCCACATAAGCACATGAACGCAAGATCTTTTGGAACCCAACACGTGATCTTTGCACCGGCGTGTGCAGCGTTTTGGCCGGAAGGGGTTGTTTTTTTGCCATACCTAGAGCCTGAGTGACCTCCTTCTTTGGACCATCAACCGGTCATGTCTGGGCCCCAGGCATGAGAACAAAAAATCGTTGACTAACAAAAAATCGTTGACTCCCTCACACCGCGTCCTTCGGGGCTCAGCTCGTGTTTTCACCCCTTGGGTGATGAAAACATGTCTTCCGGGCATCCTTCGATTGGTGTCCTGGATGGAGATCCTGGGTTGTACTGAAGGTAGTCCAGCCAGGGCACTCAGAGGGTCGGATGCTCCTGATTGAATCAATCATTCTCAGTCACAAAGCTACTCTTCAAAGCTACGACACCTCAACGTGAAGTCTCATCAGTCTTTTCACGTGTCTTCCAACTAGAAATTGGGAGATGCAGGTTAAAAGTTTCAATGAAAAAAACAGAGTTGGGTCCACCCCCCGAATTCCCCTGAACCGCCGGGCGCCCCTGACCCCGCGGACGCCGCTCCGACTGCAGGGGGAGCCTGTCCGGTCGATTTCGGACCAGGGTGGTCTGGAGTCTGGACGCAGAAGTCACGAACGTTCAGGAAACCACCAAAATCACATGTCTGCCAGCACCCGACACCTGCCAGGTCACCACCTGACACTTTTAAGTCTCCAAAAGCCTCCAGAGGAGACCTGTAGAGTCGGGTGCTGGTGGATCCCCCGATGTTTGAAGCTATCCATAACTATAACCCCTATATATAACTTTATGTTTGTGTCCTGACAGGTTTTAAGGAACTGACCTCTTTTGTTGGCGTTGGTCAACCAGGACCAAACACGACTCAGTGGTTGAGGTTTGACCAGGAGAACTGGACCAAAGGGTCACTTGGGACGATGTAGAAAGATGCATTCCAGGTGCATCATAAACGTCACTCGGGCCCCAGACACGATCTCACCAATTTGCAGGGTTTTCCAACAGAGGTGGAGAGTGACCAGGTCACGAGTCGGACCCGGAAAACCAGGGGTACCGGTTCCTGGGATAGCCGAACGTTCGGGTTCGCTCCCCACCTCTGTTGGTTAGACCGGTCGGGCTGGTGAACTCCCGTCTGGTGCATCCCGGTGAAGAACCGTCTCCCAGCACCACCTGCAGCACGCTTCGCGTCGTCGTGTCTCCTGGAACCGCATCGCATCGTGTCGTCCCACGGCGTGGAACGTTCGGAACGCCGCACGGCGAACACGGTGGGTGAGTTCCTGACTTCTCAGTGCCGAAAACCCAGTTCCCCACCGAAGCGAATGCGAAAGACACCACCTGTCACTTCGCCGACGTCACGTCCGGGACCCTGGGGACCTCTAAGGTTCGGCGATGCCGATCAGCTGGTCGATCGATGTCTGTTCAGCTGCGCCACCCAGTCAGACACGGCAGACGCAGCGATCTCCGCAGATCGCGAAGGAGAGCGAATTTCCGGGAAGAGCAGAAGAGACAGGTGGCCCACATGCGCGATGCGACGGTCGGGTCGAAGAGAGCCGCTCGGTGCGACGGTCAAAGGCTCTGATGATGAAAAACAAAATTGAGTTGCAGTCACGATGAGTCTACGGTGAGACTCTTCCATGCACACGCTCCGTGAACGACGCCCGACTGGGTCCCTCAAAACCATAGGGTTTGGTTCGGGTCCAAACCCCTCCAGAGGATTCGGGTCCGACCCCTGCATATGCGGGTCCAGGAGTGTCTGGGCAAAACACTTACCACAAAAGGTGACTTCGTTGGTTATGACTCACCCGGTAGGTAGCACAAACCCATGTGGCACAAACATTGAGAGCTCAAAAATGAAAGCATTGCACCGCAAAAAGTGAAGGGGATTGCAAGGATTTCTAGTATGTGGCTCTTCTGACAATCACCAGACTACTTCCTGTGCTTCCTAGGCTACCAACAAGAGGGTAACGGACTGCACTATATAGTCATCACCCGGCATGTATGGCATCCAGCGCGCTTTCTAACCCAAAGCCTCCCAAAACAACCAAATTCTCCTCCAAAGGCTGGCGGCGCCTTCGTCGTCAGCATGGAAGGGGGTGCCTTCTTCCGCACCGGCGCCTCGCCACCTGGGATTTGCTGCTGAAGTAGATATTCATAAGTCAATATAGCCATAGGAGCATAAAAAAAAGTGCCTTAAACAAAACCAGGCCGCTTGCCCTCGCCTCTGGCGCCGGCCGCGGCCCCGGCGGTGCCTTCTCCGGCGGCGCCTTCTCTGGCGGCGCCTTCTCTGGCGGCCGCTGCGGCAGCGACGTGTGGTTGGGCACCGCTGGCGGCGGTGGCGCCGCGGTCGGCATCGGCTTGGGCGGCGGCGCGTGGGGCGTGGGCGTCTTCGGCGCTTCGAAGCTGCAGGGGGGGGCCTTGCGCTCCAAGGCCATGGGGGTCCTGAGATGCGGTGGACCGCGTCGCGGTTGGCTTCGCAGTTCGGATCTGGTGGGAATGGCCTCCAAACCTAATAGCGGTTGCCTCCAACCTAATAGCAATGGCCTTTAACCGAATAGCAATAGCGATGGCCTCCAAACTGAATGCTCAATAGCTAATTGCTCCACCCTCCAGTTGTGGTCTGGCCGTTGGGCACTTTGGCCCGGGATGCCAGGATGCCAACCACCCCATCTTGGATGGGGGGTTCTCTGCACATACCTTGACTTTGAGCAAATCCAAGCTGTCGACGCAATTCCTCAGATGAGCGGTGCCGCCGTGATGGCGGCGGGGTGGTTGGGGGGTCCCCTTTGAAGTTCATTTGGGTACTTGATACTATAGATCGACGCCCCCCATGTGGAGGTCTCTGAAAAAAATAATGCCCCCCAGCTCACGCACACTCTCACCCACTCACACTCTCGCTCTCACCCACACTCACTTTCACCCACACTCACTCTCACACTCACTCACACTCGCACACTCACACTCACACTCACTCTCGAGTGAGTGTGGGCGAGAGTGAGAGTGAGTGTGAGTGTGAGTGAGAGTGTGAGCGCAAGTGTGAGTGAGAGTGAGAGTGAGTGAGAGTGTGAGAGTGGGAGAGTGAGTGGGTGTGAGTGAGGAGTGTGAGTGTGAGTGTGAGTGGGAGAGTGAGTGAGTGTGAGCGCAAGTGTGAGTGAGAGTGAGAGTGAGAGTGAGAGCGAGAGTGAGAGTGAGAGTGAGTGAGAGTGAGTGCGGGAGTGTGAGTGCGAGTGTGAGTGAGAGTGAGTGTGAGTGTGAGTGTGAATGTTAATGTGAGTGTGTGCATGTGAGTGTGAGTGAAGAGTGTGAGTGTGAGCGGCGTGTGTGAGTGAGTGAGAGTGAGGGTGAGAGTGAGAGTGAGAGAGTGAGCACCTGAGAGCACAAAGAGCTGCTCTGCGCCGAAATCTGCACTTCTAGGTTTACAAAGTACTGCGCCTGCCACGAAATCTGCACTTGAGGTTCACCAAGCGCTGCGCCTGCCATTAATCTGCACTTCGAGGGTCACCTGCCACGAAATCTGCACTTCGAGGTTCACAAAGTGCTATACCTGCCACGAAATCTGCACCAAGTGCTGTGCCTGCCACGACATCTGCACTTCGCAGTTCACAAAGTGCTGCGCCTGCCACGAAATCTGCACTTCGAGGCTCACAAAGTGCTGTACCTGCCACGAAATCTGCACTTCGAGGTTCAGAAAGTGCTGTGCCTGCCACGAAATCTGCAAACAAGCCACATGTCCAAAAGTCACGATTCACTGCACCTGTCACGAAATCTGAGCTCCTCGACGATCACCACCATGCCCGAAGTGCTGCACCTGCCACGAAATCTGCCTTGCACCTGTCGACTTTGGAGCACCAAAACACGAGGTTTCCCTTGCGCCTGCCACGAAGAGTCACCATCATGTGCGAAAATGCGCACGGCACCGCACAACGAGAGCGTAGTCGCTAGAAGCACCCGCCGGCCCCGATCCTAAAGAATGATTTTTACCTCCGGAACTGCGAGTTTTGGACCACCCAGACGCTCATGGGCCCTCATATGGAGGGGTCGGACCCGAATCCTCTGGAGGGGTTTGGGGTCTCAAATCGCTAGGTTTTGAGGGACCGGTGCTGTTTGGTGCGTCTGGGAAATTTGGAAAAGGCAGAACATGTGGGCGGCAGAACATGGCGGGTCTCGTGCTTTATTGACGAACCTCAATCGGTCGGGCACCTGCCCCGTCGCTGGTCGGCGTGAACGTCGGACCCCCGGCGACGCGGAGGCGACGAAGCGCCCGTTCCGCCCGTTCCGCCAGGTGGCGTAAAGGTCGCCTAAGGGTGGCGCGAGCAGCAAGCGGGAGGCGTGAAAAAAGAAACGCATGCGGGGAGACACCTGGAAAAGGCTGCCGAAGTGGAAAATCGCTGGTGTCATTTCCCTACTAAGTCACTCTAGAAGTTGTGGCCGACCATTGTTTTGATAGCCTGTTCTTCCCGAAGCACCCTTGTTTTACTAAGGGTTTTACACTACAAAACCAGGAGTCGAACCGCCATTTGAAACATGGTCGAGTCCTAACTGACCCCAGGGTCAGGAGATTGACCTCATTCTCGCCTTTCCGGGCCGACCATTTTTTGGACCGGTCCGTGACAAACGGACCGGTCCTAGATGTGACCATCGATGGTCTCCAAGTCTTAAAAGGAAAGTGAACGATCCTCCTCCCAAAATCCAAGAGAGGTTGAGCAGCCTGAACTAGGACCCTGTAGTGTACTGTATGGGATGGGCGACCTTAGGGCTTTTCAACCTCTCTTGGATCCTCCCAACCCTCCCAAGAAACCGCCCAACCACCTCCACGAACGTGGTCCACCACCAACTCCTCCTCCCCTAAGAATCCGGGCCCGAACCAACACATAGGGTTTTGAGGGTCCGGACCCCTGCTATGGAGGGTCCGACCCCTGCCATGGAGAGCCCAAGGATTCTTAGGCTCCCAATACTTTCTTTTGGTCGCTTTTCGTTCATGGCACCCAAGCGACCCCCATCGGTGGTTCCTTGCACTGCGGCGGATCTGGCTCCGCCGCCGCTTCGGCACTCGCTGTGAAGGGCGCGGGCGGCGCTTTCATGGGCGGCCCACGGAAGCCACCTGGACCGAAAGACCAGGCGCGAGCTGTCGCCGCGGAGCTACGCGGAACGTGGCGCAAGCGCGGAGCTAGGCGTTCGCGCGGGCTGAGACAAATTCCATGGACGGCTTCAGTTGGGGAACCCCTGTTACATCCACATCCACTGAATCAAAACTGAAAACTACCCCCCTAACTGCACCGGAGGAGAGACATCTTTTTGGTGCTGATGACCAAGCTGGTGAGGTTTGAAGAGGGGTAGCCAGTTCCTAGATGTCCTCAGGCTCTCTGGCCTCCAAAATCACCAGGTCTCAGGTGGTCAACGGGCCCCAAAGCAACCTTTCAAGTCTGCCAAAACGCTCCACCCCCGCATCAAAGACTGCCTGCCTGTGCCAGCACCAGGTACTTTAGGGCCTCCTGTGCCACGTTGGATCCGTAGACGGGAGCACGTTGGATCCAGCAGTGCGTTGGTGTCTCTGTTGGAGGTGCTCCGCATCCGGGGTCTCCCTTCAAAACAAGGGGGTCTTGCAGCCCCCAAAGCAAGAAGACATCACCACCGCAACTGCAAGAGGGTTTATCTACCTGTCTACCTGTCTACCTAGTAAAAATCATGGTAGCCAAAGAAGCAACCACCTCACACCTAAACCTAAGCACCTGTCAAACCCTCCTTGCAATGATCGCTCCGCCGAGGGCACAACTTGCTTGCTCCCCACTGCCTCTGGACCCTTTCCGCCGCCACCGCACCAACACTCCAACTGTTCTGGCCTTCTTCGGGCGGACACGTGCCGTGTGCCTGTCGCCACCGTCCACCTGCTCGAGGTGTCCGAAAACATGGCGAAGGCGAAGGCGCGGCGCGCGCGGGCGAACCGGGGTGCCCTGGAGGTCTGGAGACCTGTTGACGTCGTGTCTGTCAGATCTCCCAGGTGACCCCTAGTGACCCGGACCGGAAGCAGGAAGGTTCCCCTCCACCGAACCCGACCCTTGGAACCCGTTCGCGGTCGAAGCTCGGGCCCGCGGAGGGGGAGCGCGGACGTCGGGGGGAGCGCAGGTGGGTTCGGGCCGTGAGGTGGGTCGCCTCTGCCAAGAGAGGTTGAGAGACCTGAACGTTCGGACCGTGGTCTGTGGTACATATGGGATGGGCGACCTTGGGGCTCTTCAACCTCTCTAGGTGGGGTTTGTCATGACCCGCGCGCGATCAGTGGTGACGCGGGATGGCATGACCCGCGGGTTGGTTCAGGCGGCCACAACCGCAAGGCGGATGGCCAGGATCACTCACTCCAGACCCTGGCATGGTGGTCGTATGTTCCACCAAACCCAATGATGAACCGGGGAAGTGCCGCGGAAGTGCCACAGTGGAGCTCACAGCCAACTGCCTTCTTCCACTGGCGAAGGTTCAGAAGGTCTTTGCCATGATTCTGGTCTTCCACCTGCGTTGTGCACAAACAAGGCCACTTCGACTGTCTT